CACACACACACACACACACACACACACACACACACACACACACACACGCTGCCCCCCAGGCCTGCATCCCCAGATCCGAATCCTTTGAACTCATTACCTTCCAGAATCTAGAAGTCCCTGACCTTTTACTCCGCATCTCTGAGCGCCTTGGTAGAACACTTAACCTCTCCCTGGCATCTTGGCACTCATCTATTATACTTTCTGCCCCAAGGACCTGACCCCTACCATACTTAAGGGCCCTTAACTCTTTCATTCCCAAAACCCTAGGGCAAGCCCATTTTCTTCTCCAGAACTTGATGTCATATTCTCCCTTCCCGTCTACTTTCCCAGTCCCTGGACCCAAGGTGCCTTTAACTCCTCCCTTCCCAAAGCTCCTGAGCCCAGACGCCGACAGGCGCTGCGCCTCCCTGCCCATCCGTCCGCAGCCAGTGATGGAGGAGTGGAGCGAGGGAAGAAGGGAGGGAGCAGCCAGTCTGGCAAAGGCAGGAAGGGAGAGGCAGGAAGGGGGACGTGGAGTCGGAAAGGAGGCGCCGGCAGAGACCAGAAGCGAGAAGACAGGAGGCAGAGATGGAGAGATGCCGGGAGTGCGAAGGGGGCGCCAGGATGGGGAAGCGGGTCCAGGCGGTGGGGAGGGACTGGGGACAAGGGGACCCGGGCCCCACTCACCCAGGTCCTCCATGACGGGGCGCGGGCAGACCGCGCGGGGCGAGCAGGGCGGGGGCCGTGTCCGGTGGGGGCGGGGGGCGGGGGGACGTCCGGGAGCTGGAGGCCCAGCCGTGACCATGTAAGGAAGCCGGGACCCGCTGGGATAGGGCTGGGGGGGGGGGCAATGAACGGGAGAACCCGGGGTGGGGGCCTGAAAGGGAGGGAGGGCCCCGGGCCCCGGCCCACTCAGGCCCAGCCTGCTTGCTTGCTGCGGAGACGGCCACACCCCAGCCTTGGCCTCAGCTGCCGGGAGCCCCCGGCGGCCAGAGCCAAAGTAAGAAAGTGGCTCTTGCAGACTAAGCTGGGGATCCTCTGCCCGGGAGACCCTTAGACACACACTGAGGTCCCCAAGCCCACCGCCACCCCAAAACTAGCACCCTGAGTCCTAGACAGAGCTCCTCTCCCACCCAGGCTGTTCCTGGGAGCCTGCTCCAGACAGAGTCTTGGGGTTGGAGGTGGGAGTGATGTTCTAAGGATCAGTCAGATCCCAGGTTCAGAGACCTTCCCTTAGAGACCGTGACAATGACATAAACAGAGATCCCAAAGGGCATGCAAACTAGATACAAAGAAATCTTTCAGAGACAGAGACACACAATGAACCCACCCACAGACTCTAAGTCATAGTGTTGGAAACGGATATACAGACACAGGTAAACAGAAACCAAGGCCCCAGCCCCACACAGACTCAGGGGAAACACTCCCAGGCAGCCAGCCCCAGCCAGCCGTCCCCAGCACTGAGATGAGCCAGACCTGTCCCAAAAGAGCCCTTTCCCAAGATACTGCTGAACATAGCGAAGAAAGCAAGACACAGACTCCAGCCACAAAGGAACAAGAGGCCTTCCCTGGACTGAGACCCTGAGAAATCAAGTCAGAAACGAGAAACTCTAGAGATAGGTGTGGACAGACACAACAGGTGTGGCTGCAGCCACTGGACTGTGGGTCTCAACCCAGACCTGAGTCCAGATGTGAGCACTGGAATGGGGGCAGGGGCTTCCTCAACCCAGCAGTAAATCAGAACCTGGGAGCTTTTTTCAAAATACTGATGCCCAAGTCACCCTCCCCTCAGTCCAATTCAGTCAGAAAGGGCCCAAGCATCAGTATTTATAAAAGGCTCTCTGTGGACTTCCCTGGCAGTCCAGTGGTTAGGACTCCATGCTTCCACTGCAGAGGGCATGGGTTGGATCCCTGGTCAGGGAACTAAGATACTGCATGCAGATCCCATATGCCGCGTGTCACAAAAGAAAAAAAAAAAGCCAGAGAGAGAAATGAATAGATCCTTATATAAATATTTATATAATACATTAGTGGGGAAAAAAAAGCTCTCTGGGTGGTTTTAAGGCACAGCCTGAGAACAGAGACCTGGACACTCCCTGAGGCACAGAGGCAGCACGGGGCAACCTTAGCTCCCCAGAAGCTAGCAGACAGGCCCAGTCCAGACACTGTCTTCAAAGTCAGGCTGCCACCTAAGTGGCCAGTGATCTGGGAGCCAGATTATGGAGACCCTGCCTGGACGACCAAAGCAACGCAAGCGCTTTCCTCACCTGAATGCCAGCCTAGGGCTCCAGCTCCCTCTGGGCACGACTAAGGGCCTCAGGGGCTTGAAGAACACGGTAGGTCTTCCCTCAGAAAAATGGCAGGACAGTTGGCCCAAGATATGAAAATGGATCCAGAGACCAAAGACCCACGATGGGTGAAGGGAACTGAGGAAACCATAGTGCCAAGGTCTTGGATGTATATCCCCACTCTCACATCCCCTCAGCACAACCCTCTTAGTCCTGATCAAGGTCTGTGTCCAGCTGGGTGGCTATCTGAGCAATGAAGTAGCCTCAGCAGGAAGCAGGCTTCCCCTGGGGCCTAAAACCACATCCTCAGAAGCAGCCTGGGAACTCAACCATATCCCAGGGCTCCAGGAACCAGCGCATAATTACTTATTAAACTCCTGGGCTTCCCTGGTGGCGCAGTGGTTAAGAATCTGCCTGCCAATGCAGGGGACACGGGTTTGAGCCCTGGTCCGGGAAGATGCCACATGCCACAGAGCAACTAGACCCGTGCACCACAACTACCGAGCCTGTACTCTAGATCCCACGAGCCACAAATACTGAGCCCACGTGCCACAACTACTGAAGCCTGCGCGCCTAGAGCCCGCACTCTGCAACAAGAGAAGCCACCGCAGTGAGAGGCCCGCGCACCACAACGAAGAGGAGCCCCCGCTCGCCGCAACTAGAGAAAGCCCGCGCGCAGCAACGAAGACCCAATGCAGCCAAAAATAAGTAAATAAAAAATTTAGAAAACAACTCCTATACGCCAAGGGTGGCCTGTATTGAGACACAGAAACCGGGACAGGACCCTACTTGATGGGTGAAGGGGTTGGGGTACCACCACAGGAAGGTAAGCAGAGACACCACACGACAGGGGTAGCCAGCTCCAAAGTGTTTAATTCCAACTCCAGAAAGCTGAGCCAGGCCAAGTGCCTGGGGCCGTGGGCGGTCCTCCATCTTGTGGGCCCCATGCCTCGCCTTGGCTTCTCACTCTTGAGCCTTCAGATCATCAGCCCGGGGTCTCGGTCCACCCTGTCATCGGTCCTTGACGCGGACCCCTTCTGCTCGGCCTCCTCCTGTGCCGCTCTGAGGGAGAACTCCTCACAGACAACTCATCCTCGGGTCTCCTCCCAGGGGACATCAACCGTCGAGGCTGGGACCCTCGCCCCCCAATTCTACCCCCATCATCACAGCCAGGAAGGCCTCAGTTAGGGGCCCCGCCTCGTCGCCTGCTGCCTCCACAAGCCCCACCAGGGCCAGGGCCCGCTTCCGTGGGCACTGCCCCGGCCCCAGGATCCAGCGAGCGCAGTGGGCAGCCAGCCGGGGCCGGCCCAGGCGGAAGACCTCACCCACTGACTCTGGGCCGCCCTGGGGTCCCAGGTGGATGCGGCCCACGGCTTCTTCCAGCTCCTCCTCCAGCCCGGGCAGCAGGAAACGGCCAGCAGCTTCCAGGGCTTCCTCAGCCTCTGAGCCCAGCAGGCGCTGGCCCGGTGGAGGGACGGGCCCCAGGGCAGCTCTGCAGCCCCGGCAGCCGTGCAAGTAATGCAGGACAGGCCAGGCTGCGCTGGGTGACAGGCCCCGCAGTGGCACTAGGTCCATGTGGGCTTCGGCAAAGCTGCCAGCTAGCAGGGCCCGAAAAAAGGGGGAGGCGGTTGCTGAGGCCGCTCGCTGGGCAGGGAGCTGGAGGCCTGAGTCCAGCAGGAAGTGGAGGTCAGGGGCCGCCGTGGGGGCGGGGCCCAGCAGAGGCTCATAGAGGCAAGGGGAGGGCGGGTCCAGGTCCAAGGGGATTGCAGGTAGGAGGGCCGGGCTCACAGTGGGAGACACCAGGCCTTGGAGGCAGGAAAGGGAGTCCGCAGCAAAGAAGAGGAAGAGCGGGTGTGGAGCTGGCCGAGTGAGCGCTGAGAGGAGGAGACGGAGGCCGCCCTGGTCCAGAAGCAGCCGGCGCCACAGAGAGGGCTTCCTTCGGGGACAAAAGAGAACCCTTCAGAAGGTGGGAAAGGGTGGGGCTGGGGAACAGCAACCTTGCTCCCCCCACCCCTGCGAGGCACCCATGCCTCCCTCACCGACAGATGAAGGGCAGGGTGAGTGCGCAGGCCACGCGGTCCTCAGGGCTCCCAGAGAGCAGCAGGTGAGTGAGGGCACCCACTCCAAAGGGCGATTCGGCCTGCACGGTCAGGTTCTGCAGCAGCATCTCACCTGCCGGTGTGGGCAGAGCAGGTCAGGTTGGGAGCTGGTATCCAAGATGGCGGTGGGATGGGCAAGACAGGCCTCTGGGTCCCCGAAAGGAACGGGGGCGAACAACCCCGGGGCAAGGAAGAGGGGGATGACTGATGGCCCTGGGGGGATGGGGTCTGGACACTAGGAACTGGAGGTCAAGGGCAAGAACGGGGAGTGAGATGGTCAGGGAGTGAGTCTGGGCCCTCAAGGACTGAAACAGGGCACAGAAGCCCCGGCAGTCCCTGGCAGGGCTGGAAGGGGTGGTGGGGCCTGGGAGGACATGGTGCCCGAGCCTGGGTTCACCATCAGTGGGCCCAGTGGTAGTCAAGGACAGTGCAGGAGTCAGGACAATGCGGAACCAAGAAGACACTGGGTAAGGAGACGAAGACAGGCACAATTCTAAGCTGTTCGGGCCAAGCCCAGTGCTGGGGTCTCTGGGCCCCAAGGCTCGGGCAGAGGCTGAAGAACTCTGCGTGTGGGGACAGTGGAGCAGAAGGGAGTCCCTCCCCGCCACCACCTAGTGGCTGAGGTTGTCCAAACGGTGGGCGGTGGGCGGAGGAGGGCAGTGAGACAGCGGGTGAGCTGCAGGGCGCACGGAAGGCATGCAGGGGCGCGTGGCCTCACACGTGGGCAGGGAGGCGCGCGGGTACCCACCCAGCTCCCGGTGCTGGTGCTGGCTGCGACGAGCGGGCCGGGCGCGCAGCGCGGGCCAGTCGTCGGGGGCGACGCCGAGCACGAGCCAGGAGCGCAGCAGCGCCGCCCCATAGCTGCGCACGAAGGCCTCGAGGCAGGCGGGGTTGCAGGTGAGCCGCGCCAAGATGCGCAGCGCGCGGGGGCTCGGCGAGCCCGGCGCGCCCGTCACGTAGGCCAGCAGGCCGCACAGGGCCTGGCCGGTCACCAGCGCCCCGCTGGGGTCGGGAGCCTGGGAGAAGCGCGACAGCAGCAGCAGCGCTGGCCCCTCGCGGCCCCAGGGCTCCTCGGGGGCAGTGGCGGCGGGGCTGCGGCCGGGCGGGCGCAGGGCGCGGGGCGTCCGCAGCGAGGTCGGGCCCAGGGAGGGGCTGGCCCGACTGGCCGGCTCTGGCGGCGGCGGACAGCGCTCCGGGGACCAGTCGGGAGAGATGTCGCCCGGGCCCGCAGCATAGCCCTCGGAGATCAGCCAGGACCTGCCGAGGGAGAAAGAGGGAATGGAACCCAGAGCCGAGGGGAGGGGGCAGGGCCAAAAGATCGGTTGTGCAAAAAGAGGTGACAGAGGCCAGGAGAGAGGGTGGGCCCGAGCGGGGAACAGGGAAAAAGGGAGGTAGGGGCAAACCCCAGCTCATTCAGCGATTACTGATGCCTGTTGTGTGCTAAGCCCCGTTTCAGGTGCTGGGGAGAAGCAGTGAGCAAAAGGTCCTGCCTCCTAGACTCTATATTCCAGTGAGGAAAAACAGGTAACAAAATAAGAAACCACAAGGTATGTTAGTGTGCAGTTAGTGTGGTGTGAAGTGATGCATACGGAGCAAAGTAAAAGGGAACAGAAAAGAGCCCAGGGAGGGGAGAGCTGACATTTTAAAATTGGGTGCTGATGAGGGTGAGATCTAATCAAGGCATCTTGGAGGAAGAGTGCCCTAGGCACAGGGAACAATAACCAAAGAGGCCCTGATATGGTACTTATCTGCCAGGTCCAAAAACTAGCTAGAAGGCCAGTGTGTAAGAGTATCGTGGGCACCAGGAAAGCAGTGGGAAATGAGGTCAGGAGTTCACAGAGGCTGACGTTTACTGAGCGCTGCTTAGTGCCAGGTACGGTGCAAAGTGCCCTCATTTGATCTTTACAACTCTATGGGGTAGGTATGCATTAGCCTTCGTTCTACTAACAAGGAATCCGATGCTCAGAGAAGTTAATTAACTTTCCTGAGATGACTCAGCTTGTAGGTGGTGGTACCAGAATAAGAACTTAGATGCCAGAACGTATCATCAGAACCAGTGCACATACTACCTTCCAGGGAACCTGTCTGGGCCCCAAAGTTCAGAGGTGCTGGGGTGGAGCCAAGGTCAAAGGTGGCCCCAAGGGAAAAGAGGTGTATTTAATGCGGACTGGAAAGTGGTCGTGTTCAGTGAGAACAAGGAATTAGGAATCAGAGTCAATAAAAGTCTTACCAAGACAGAACGGGCGGAGAGTGAGGGTAGTGAAGAGACTCTACCCCACAGCATCAGGTGGGAACTCACCTGAGGCTTTGGAAGCTTCCGGCCTCTGCCCGCTCAGGAGTCCTCTCCTCAGGGAAGTCCCAGGAAGCAGCTTCTCTTCCCTCTTCTTCCTCATCACCAGCCTCACCACACAGTTGCCCAGCCAGGAGAGGTACAAGTCCCAGAGCCTGCAGCCGGCCCAGGGCCCCAGTATCATAGAGGAAGCCCACGAGGGCTGCCACAACACGAGGGTGCCAGGCGCTGGCGCGAGGATCCCGCAGCAGGCCCATCAGCAGCTCCAAACCACCAGCATCCCGCAGTCGGGCCCGGTTGATAGCCTCCCGGCACAGCAGACACACGGCCCGCACCAGGGGCTGCTGGGAGGCTGGGCTAGCCCCGCTGGGGTCCCGGCGCCGCCGGAGTTCACCTAGTAGCACCTCCACTGCACCAGCGTTGCCCAGCGCAGGCCTTACCAGGCCCTGGGCGCACAGATTGGCAAGGATCAGGATGGCTGCCTCACGCACTGCTCTTTTGGGGTGGGAGGCCAGGCTGACCAGTGGGCCTAGTCCTCCACCCAGACTTAGCTGCTCAGCACAGGCCCGGGAGCAGCCTCGACTCAGCTCCAGGAGGGCACGGACTAAGGCCAAGGTCAGCGCAGGGTCTGGGGCAGCGGCCAGAAGCTCGGCCAGCGGGCGCACCACTCCCTGCTTTGCCAGGGCCAGGCGGTGCTGGGGTGAGTCCGCCAGGTTGCGGAGGGCACGAACCACACTCTGGCGGCACTGTGAGTCCTGGCAGGCCGTCAGGCCCTCAACAAGCAGGGGAACAGCACCTGCAGAGGGAAGAAGACAGAAGGTGAGTGAGCACAGACACCCAAGCCCTTCTCCCACCCCCAAGCCCTGGGTGGCTCCACCCTCAGAGCCTGCTCACCAGCAGAGTGGATGTCCCCACAGCTCTCAGGTTCCATGGCTAAGTTCCCCAGAGCACGGGCCGTTCGGTTCTGGATGCTGTCTGTCTTCACACACTGAAGAATAGTCACTGCAAGAGGGTTTGGCCTCTTGAGGTTTCTACCCCTTCTTGTCTCTCTCATTAATCACCTCAAGAACGTCGCCTGAGAGAGTCAGGGAAGGCCTCCAGAAAAGGCCTAACACTTGTGGGGTCTGGAAGGTTAGATAGGTAGGTATTTGCTAGAAGGATGGTGGATGGGAGTGTTACAGGGCATTTCAGGTTTCGAAGTAACCTTTGCAAAGGCCCAGAGGTGAGATCTAGTGTTTATGCTATGACTTCATGAAGGGCCTTGATCAGGCCAAGGGCTCAGGTCTTGAATGTGAGGGCACTGGGAGCCACACAGCGTTTTAAGAATGGAAGTGACATGATAAAATCTGGCAGCCATGGGGAGAATGGATTACAGGGGGAAAGAATAAGGCAGGGGGAGCAACATGGAGGCTGTTGCAATAGTGAGAAGACGGCTTGACCCAAGTCAGCTACCAGCACAGCCCAGCACAGTCTCTGGGCACGTGATGGAAGAAGGCAAAGAAGTGGATGGATTCAGGAGATATTTAAAATACAAAACAGTGAATGAGGACTTATTAATGTGCCAGGCCTCTTGTCAATGAAAATTTAAATATATTAATGTTTTATTTTATCAAAAAAATTAAGATTTCATCAAAATAGGCATAATTTCATAGCTGGCAATGAAGTGTAAACTGTGTTCACAACATTGCCACTAGGAGGCGCCAATTTAGCTGGTAAACAGAAAAGCTTGCTATCTTTTGTTAGGATTTGTTCTTTTTTAAAAAAATTGAAGTGTAGTTAATGTACAGTGTTAAATAAGTTTCAGGTGTACAATACAGTGATTCGCAAATTTTAAAGGTTACACTCCATTTATAGTTATTATAAAATATTGGCTTAGAATTTGTTCTTTTTTTTTCTGGCTGTGCCACAAGGCTTGCGGAATCTTAGTTCCCCGACCAGGGATCAGAACCCAGGCCCCAGGAGTGAAAGTGCCGAGTCCTAACCACTGGACGCCAGGGAATTCCCAGGATTTGTTCTCACTGTGCTAGTTTTTAATAACTAGAAGTACCCAGTCCAGACTCAGATATCTGTGTTCTATCTTTGTATTTCATTTTCTCCCTATTCCAGTGTTTTGAGGTAGCTATTACTCCATTTTACAATCCTAGCCTCGGATGGGTCTAGGTGACTGCAGAGCCCACATTTTCAACCACTACACTTTCTGACCCCCAGCTCATCAAATGGGATTTCAGAGCCCTGCACAAGGCTGGACACAGTAGGCACTGAGTGCCTGCTATGAACATAAATGGAGAGTAAGAATCATTTGAAAGAGTCATCAAATAACCCTTTGGCCTCCACCAGCCCAGATGCGAGAGAGGTGCTCTACAACCAATACCCAGGTAATTGGCATCTGATCTAAGAGGGCTAGGGTATAATTTATAGAGAGCAGTGACGTCACGGGTCATGACATCATGAGAGCTGCGGGCGCTGCGCCGTCAGAAAGCACCATCTTCCAGCCTACAACACAAAGAACTCAAGACTCCGCCCTGGCCCAGACACAGACAGAGGTGTGGGTAGAATCCTTCTAGGAAATGGGGGCGGAGCACTTACCCAAAGGGATAATGCCTCCGAGTCTGCGCACTTCAGCCCGGCACTCCCCTTCCGTACAGCAGTTGGCTAGGATGCTGAGCGCCAAGTCCAGCGTCTTGCGCAGGCGCGCTGGTGGCGAGGGCGTCGATGACGACACAGCAGAGGGGGCGGGGCCCGGAGAAGGGGCGGGGCCAGAAGCCGCTGACTCGACAGACGAGGGGGCGGAGCCTGGGCCAGCCTGGGAAGGGGCGGGACCCGCTGCAGCCGCTCGCCGTAGCACCGCGAGAAGGGGGCGGAGCCCGCCGCGTGCCCGGAAGCGTTCGATTCCCCCAGCTGCCTTGACGTGGCGCGTACGGAGGGCTAAGAGCGCACGGCCCAAGGGTGCCTCGTTGGTAGCTGTGTCCTTTCTCCCACCTAGACCCTCCCCGGCCGCCGCCGTGAGCTGCGCGAGGCAGAATGAGAGCGAGTCCGCGGGGCTTAGCTTCGCAGCCGCCATCTTAGCTCAGGCCTAAGGCTCCGCCCTTCTCCTCGCCGCTCATCCTAGGGAGCGGAACTGGAAGAGAAGGACGTGGCCATGCACCTCCTCTCTGACGCTTTTTAAATAGCGCCGCCGCAGTTGTCATGCGAGTCGGAAGTTGTAGTTCTCGATCCCGGTGCTCTGGCTTGCACAGTTGCAGAAGGCATGTTGAGAGTAGTGGTTATCTAATCGTAGTGCGAGCCCCAGAGGCGCGTGCGGCGCATGCTGGGTTATGTAGTCCGCGCCAAGCTTAAGACGCCTAGTTTAGGATGGATGGGAAACTCTCTCAAGGGACTCGGGTGGGCCGGTGCCTCTGGAGAACCCAGACATCCGATCATGGAGTTTCAGTACAGTGCTGCTCCAGGTGACTTGTCTACTCTGCCCCCAGCGTGTCCTTGGCAGCAACAGCCTTTTCCTTCAGGCTCGCTTCGCCGCCCCTCATTGGTGGCCGGGGCACTGAAGTCCGCGCGGACGGACTGAGAACCCCGAGCCAAGCGGAAAGTATCAAGTTCCTGACAGCGGCTGCAGATGGGAGCACTTGCTCCGCCAGGTGGATGAGAGGGTTAAACCTACGGAGACCGTTCGCTGCCACTTCCTAGAACTGCACGGGCTTGTGGACATTTCCGTTTCCGGTGCTGAATCACTGGGTCCAGAGTGTCTCCAGCTGTGGTTGTGCTTGTGAGCCCAGTGGTTGGTATCTAGGAAACGGTACGTTCTTACCGCTATGGAGTCGGTGGCTCCAGAAACGGCAAGGGAGGACTCCGACGGGGCCGAGTAGCGGGGGAACCAACCGGTCGTCAGGATCCCAGGGAGTCCCGAGGTCCGCCTTCGATTGCGGAGTTGTTCCACCCAAGCGGCCCTTCCTGGTGTGGCCGGGGCAGCCGGCCGCCCGGGAAATGATGATGGGCCTGCAGTACCTACGTAGGTCAGTCTCTGGCCCTGGGGAGGAAGAAGCCCCTGCCAAGACCAACTATCCTGCAGTCCCCAGAGCCTTCGAGCGCCAGGAGTGTGGACTGTCCGCAGCCTACCTCCCTAACCTCATTCACCACCAAAGCAGCCATGGGGGCGACAAGCCCTACTGCTGCCCGGAGTGTAGCAAAAGCTTCCGACGTGGCTCAGATCTGGTTAAGCACCACCGGGTACACACTGGAGAGAAACCGTACCCCTGTCCTGAGTGTGGCCGTTGCTTCAGCCTGAGCTCCAACCTCATCCAACACCGTCGCTCCCACTCAGGCTTCCGGACCCACAAATGTCTGGAGTGCGGGGAGGCTTTTGGCCGCAGCTCGGACCTGGTTAAACACCAGCGGGTGCACACGGGTGAGAAGCCTTACACCTGCGCTGAGTGTGGTAAGACTTTCAGCCTGAGCTCCAACCTGGCGCAGCATCAGCGCTCACACACGGGCCAGAAGCCCTACCGCTGTGCCTGGTGTGGTGACAGCTTTGGGCGCAGCTCTTCTCTGCTCAAGCACCAGCGATCACACACTGGGGAGAAGCCCTACAGTTGCTGTGAGCGTGGCGAGAACTTCACCAACATCTCAGACTGCATACGGCACCAGCGCACCCATAGTGGAGAGCGGCCCTTCAAGTGTCCTAAGTGTGGTCGTGGTTTCAGTGAGCGCACCCAGTTCACCAATCACCAGCGCGTTCACATGGGTGAACGACCCAATGCCTGCCCAGAATGTGGCAAATCCTTCTCCCACAGCGCCAAGCTCCTTAAACACCAACGCTCGCACACAGGCGAGAAGCCCTATAAGTGCCCCAGCTGCAGCAAGAGTTTTGGAGACAGTTCACATCTGCTGCGGCACCAACACCCTCACACGGGCCAGAAGCCTTATGCTTGCGGCGAGTGTGGCAAGAGCTTCCGCCGGAGCGCCCACCTGCTCATCCACCAGGTGGCGCACAGCGGTGAGAAGCCCTACGTCTGCCTGCAGCGTGGCAAGGCCTTCGCCCGCAGCTCCAACCTGGGCCAGCACCAGCGGACGCTCCAGGGGCACAGCCCCTGCCAGTATCCCTGGCTTAAGTTGCAGCCCAGACTTCAGCTCTGACTTTGGTCCAGGCTCAAGGAGCCTGAGGGGCCCAGCATTTCTCAGTAAACCTCACTCTGCTCCTCTAGGGCTGCTGATTAGTGGGCTGAATCAGGGAACCCCAGGCTGGAGGAATCGGAACAGAAAAGTGGGCTTAGGCCTGTTCTCTGAGGCCCTGGAGATGGGATTCCAGCTGGAGGGAGAGTTTGGGGATGGCAAGAGCTGGCCCAGCTGCTTTAAGATGCAGAACACCTTTGGCGGCCTAGGTGTGTCCCTTCACAGGCCTAGGGAGTGATGGGGCTAATCACACCAAGAGCAACAGTTACCTCAGCCCAGAGGAATGGGGCTCAACGCCAGGCAAGCCCCCGTGAGGAATGCAGTAGGGGAAGAGGGGGTCGGGGAGGTCCTCACCTCCAGAGGGGACCATAAGGCCGGCTGTTTTCTAGCACAAGGATCAGAGTTTGAATTTGGGACCATTAGGTGAGCTCTGGGGTGTGTGACCCCTTTGAAAGAGAGCTGTCTTTACAGGGGGAAGCTGGTGGGGCCCAGGGCCAAAGCAAAGGACCGGGAGGCCTGTCTGTTGAGTTCGGGGGGTGCCCGGTGACATTTCTAGGCAAGGGCAGAAGGCCCGAGGTTGGTTGTCTGCCCCTACCTCTTCTTTAGCCTTTTCCCTTGCAGGTTTCCCAGGCTTTTTCTCTGATCCCTCAACAGAGGAGAAAATGTGAAGATTCACTTGTGCCCGGACACCGGGGACTAGACATGGTCGTTTTGCCAGGGCGCTGGGGCGGGCTGCCTCCGTAAACGAATGTATTTCTATTGGTAAAACTTAGAGTATATGGGAGCCAGAGGGAGGCTTCCCGAAGCACTGCACAATGTGTGCCCAGAGCAGAGTCTAAGCTGTGAGGCCCTGCTCTCCCCCCCGTAGCTGGCTGTGTTCCTGGGAGAGGCACAGAATGTAGCCCTTATGAGGTTGGGGGGGGCCTAATGCCCACCCCATGGGACCATGAGCCTCATGCATCTGGTGCCCTGTCCCCAGATCTTGTCTCTCACCAGGTTTGGTGCATCTAGAACCGTATCCACGGGGAAGAGGGGCCAAAGGGGAAGGATGTGAGGTAACTCCTCCCTCAGCTTCTAGCACAGAGTGTCCAGGCTTCTCTCTTTGTGACTGCGTGACCTTGGACAGGTCTGCCTCTTCTGAGCTTCAGTCTCTTCATCTGTAAAACAGGGATGATGAAAGGACTCGGCAAGGAAAGGACTCAGCAGTCCTCAGTTCCCTGCTCTTCCTCAAGTCTGTCACCCTGTCACCGGTGGTGTTGGCCTACAGACATCACGCCAGCGCGCTTCCTAGCTTCTCCCAAAGGTTACAGAAATGAGTGAGGCAGCCCCAGTCCTGGAGTAGTTTGGTGTCGTGAAGGAGATGGACTCAGGCTCGATGCTGGCACTGGAGAAAGGGCATCACCTGGAGTAAGTCTAAGAGGCTTCATGAAGGTGACATCTAATGGATGCCACTTGTCTCCTGAAGCTGGGTCTGTGATGAACAGATGGGTTCTGGCATATTCCCCATCAATGGCATCTCAAAATAGCACAAGCCAGTGGCTGAGTTGGAGGCCTGAGCCAGGTGCATCCGTAGTAGGCATTCAATAAATAGTTGTTATGATCAGGTCCTGTTTACTCTTACTAGTGACCTTGGGGCCTCAGCTTCCTCAAAGCTGGATTGCGTTCTCTGCAAAATTGTAACTGCAGGTGGACGTTAGGTACATGGCAGAGGAGGGCATGGGAGGAGGATTTGTTTGCAAAATCCCTTTCAGTCAACTGGAAGCTAATTTCTCACATTAAGGTAAATAGCCATGTGCCCCATCTCCTCTCAGTTGTAGAGACAGGTCCTGCCCAGAGCAGGGAGGCAGGCCAGTCCTTGGAAACAGGAAGGATGGGCTTAATCCAACAGGGGTTTATCCGGCATTCACTGTGCCCTGAGCTGGGAAAGAGGCACTCTCCAAGCATGTGGCCAGTACTTAGGCCAGAGGCAGCGGACATGTTTGCTTTGGCCTTCACTCTGTGTGTGTGTGTGTGTGTGTGTGCGCGTGTGTTTACACTATTGAGCCACCTTTTTTTTTTTTTTTTTGCCGGTGGCTTGTGGGATCTCAGTTCCCCAATCAGGGATCGAACCCATGCCCTCAGCGGTGAAAGTGCGGAGTCCTAACCACCGGACCGCCAGGGAAGTCCCATGAACCAACATTTAAATCAGGAGATTTCACATCACAATCTAGATTTCTAGTTTGCTTTTTTTGGGGAGGAGAGAGGGGAGAGGATCAGAAAATTCAGCAACACTGGAGCTTTCCAGCAACAACGTGTTGACAGGGCTGAGTAGTGGCTGCCCCGGACATGGACAGTCCCCACCGCTCCCTGGTGTGTCCCTGACTCAGCGAGTTTCATTTGAATTACTTGCCTAACAGCTACAGAAAGGCGTTTGGGGGTGACCATCCCCACCCTACACTCTCATGGGTGAGAAAGTCCCATGCAGTGGAGGCAGTTTCTCTTTTCCCTCACCCCTTCCTGCCCCCCACCAGCCATTTTCCTCCCCAGCCCCCAGCCCAGCTGACAGACCGGACCTGCTTTCCCGACCCCAGATATCACCCTCTAATATTGAAGCTCCTTTCCGTATGTGCCAGGGAGTAGGGGCAGAGCTTACGGGTTCAGCAAGGCCAGGCAAACCCCTGTGTACCTTGGTCAGAGGGCCGAGTATTGGGCCCTGTGAGCCTCAGGGAGACAGTCCTCGGCAGACACCCCTCGCAGGGCTTTTGGGAAGCAAGCAGCTGTGGAGGTGCTCTATAAACGCTAAGGCCCCGGTGGGCTCGGAGGGAGGGGGCGTCAGTAATACTGTCTCCCCTGGGCTGGCCCTGGCTTCTGGACATGTGCTTGGACTCCATCCAGTTCTGTCTGATCTCACCCAGTCCTGGGAGCCTGGTTCCTCCTTTGAGCCTGGTGGGCGGTACAGAGGCTGGTGCTGGGCAGTGGGTGTGGCCACTGGCTGGCAGCTGGAGTCCCACCCACCCAGAAACTCAACAGTGGCTGGCAGGTGCTTTTTTTTTTTTTTTTTTTTTTGCGGTACGCGGGCCTCTCACTGTTGTGGCCTCTCCCGTTGCGGAGCACAGGCTCCGGACGCGCAGGCTCAGCGGCCCTGGCTCACGGGCCTAGCCGCTCCGCGGCATGTGGGATCTTCCCAGACCGGGGCACAAGCCCGTGTCCCCCGCATCGGCAGGCGGACTCTCAACCACTGCACCACCAGGGAAGCCCCATGGCAGGTGCTTTGAGAGGTGCACTGGGGATGCCGGAACAGCATCCCCCCCTGTCCCAAGCCAAAGTCCCTCCCTCCCTCCCTTCCCTAGACATATTCCAGGAGGACAGGGACTCTGCATTGTCCCTGTTGAGTCCCCAGCATCCCACATGGGGCAGGTGCAGAACACCTTGAGGAAGGTCTGATCACACTGCCTGGGTGATTTGCAGCTTCTCTTCCCTGGGATTCAGGATCCCTTTCTGTTCTTCTTTCTTCTTCTGTTCTTATTTCCTGCCAGTTCAAAATGCTTCTCTCTCTCTCTCTCTCTCTCTCTCTCTCTCTCTTTATTCCTAAATAATGTGGATTTTCTAAAAACAAGGAAATTATCCATGATCCAGTACTGTCATCTAATGAACAGACTTTATTACAGTTTCACCAATTATTCCACTAATAGTCTTTATAGCATAAGAAAAAAAATTATGGTCCAGGATATAATCCTAACTAGATGCACATATTGCATTTAGTTTTCATGGTTCTTTAGTCTCTTTTAATCTAGAAGAATTCTTTAGTATTTTAGGACAATTTCTTTGTTTTTCATGACCTGGAAAAATGCTTACATCTCTTAATGGCCAGCGTCCTCCTGGATCTGAATTAGGCACAACACATTCAAACCTCAGTACAATCTTTGTAAATTTAGAAACTCTTTGGGCACCAACAAGTTTTCTGCAGGTTCTTCTTCCAGCTCACCCGTGCCAGCGTCTTCATACCACTCTTTGCCCACCCCCACTCCCCAATCACTTCCTTTCTCTGGGCCTCAGTTTCTTCAGCTGTAAAATAAGCAGATAGGATGAGATGGTTTTCAGAGCCCCTCGCAGAGCTTTCCCCCAAAGAGTTTATGATTCTGCTATGTGTAGGGTGCATGTTTGCCAGCATGGGTTTATACCTGCATTGAAACTTGGCTTTCCCATAGTTTGGGATGTCATTTGACACCCAGAATCTATTCTCACTTCCTTCTAAAGAGGCTCTCTGGACTGTAGTTGTTGGAAAACTAAACACTACATTTCTTAGATTCCCTTGCATATTAGGTTCTTCCAATATCCTTGCATGAGATTTAGAAGGTGTGAATGAAATGGGCCACTTTCTTGCTGCTATTTTCTGATGACCAGTAAGGTAGAGGAGGCATGGGGGTTTTCTGTTGCAGTGTTGCCGTGTCTAATCTTCAGCCTTGTGGGTGTCAAGAATCAGGTTAGAGGCAATGAAGCAGCTTCCTAATCCCCGGTTTGCAGCTGTGATCCAAGTCTTCTCTAGCTTATATGACACCACGTGAAGAAAAAGTTGCCCCTTCTGGGAAGACACAGCTCTGGGGGTCAACAGAGGGCAAGGTGGAGCCTGACTGGCCCAAGGTCACTCAGGCAGCTGGTGGCTGAACTTAGACCAAAATCAGGGTCCTTTCCAGATGTAGTCCACTTCTGGGTGCAGGGCAGATATGTGGCTCCCAAAGCTGAGGGGACTTGGCAGAGGGGCGCTAGGGTTAGATGAGCGAGGCACCAGCCTCTAGTGCAAAAGTTAAGGGGGCATGAAAATACTCGCAATCAAGATAAATGATACATCTATGCGTATATATATTTTTAAGGTTTATTTATTATTTACTTATTTAATTTGATTTATTTTTGGCTGTGTTGGGTCTTAGTTGTGGCACGTGGGATCTTTGTCGAGGCATGCGGGATCTTTCCTTACGGTGCGTGGGCTTCTCTCTAGTTGGAGTGCGCAGGTCTTCTCTAGTTGTGTCGCGCGGGTTCTAGAGCGCATGGGCTCTGTAGCTGCTGCACCAGGGCTCTAGTTGAGGCACGTGAGCTTAGTTGCCCCGCGGCATGCGGGATCTTAGTTCCCTGACCAGGGATCGAACCCTTGTCCCCTGCATTGCAAGGTGGATTCCTTACCACTGGACCACCAGGGAAGTCCCCCTATATATACTTTTAAATCAGAAAGCTACCACCTGTGCCAGCCACCTGCTTTTCTAAATAAAGTTTTATTGGAACCAGGGCCATGATTAGGGTGAGGTGAGTGAGGCAGGGTGGAGAAAATACAGGGTTGATGCCTGTCTTTATTTAAATCTTCGATATTTCGATATTTTGTTCACCATGAATTTTTTGCATTCATTTTGATTTTTTTGAAATATCGCGTTGCAATGTCTTCTCTTGATTACTGAGTTTGGGGGCGTTCCCTTAAATTCTCTGCCAGAGGCCAGCTCCTCACTCTCGGTCTTTCCTTAGCGAGAGGTTTTAGGTACCACCACACCACGTTAGGCCAGGTCACCTCCACCAGGGCTTGCTCGCCCGGGCGCCCCAGCCGGCTACTTCCTCTCACATTCTAGTTAGGGACTGGGATGTGGTTCCTCGGTGGCTCTTTATGGTGTGCTCACTGCTCTGACCGGTTCGGCCCATCTTGGGAAGGCCTGGGGACAGGCGGGGCGGGTTTTGGGGAGGAGAAGAAGCAAGCAGGGCGGCGGGGGATGGAGCGTCTCCTGCCGGACGTTGAGTAAGGATGCCCGGGACCCTCCGCATCCGGGTCTCGGCCCCTTGCGGGACTACATTTCCCAGAAGGCGCCGCGGGAGGCTGCCAGCCTTGGAGGTTTGGCTGCGTCCCTCGCAGCCGAGCCAGGCGCCGCCGCTGCCGCGTTTTCTCAGTCTTCCCTCGGGTGTCAGCCCTCTCGGGATTGGGCCCTCTGCGACGCCACGGATGGCTTTCCCGGAACTGGGGTCTGGCCCTCTCCGGAGAGTGGGGGCGACTGGCCCCGTCTCGGCTGCACCTCGGTTGTGTCATGCAGGAGACACGCAGGTGCGGGGTCTCAGTGGGTAAGAGCTGGCGATCGGCAGCAGCCCGGCCCGCCGCCTCCACCTAGAGCAGGGGGCGTTTCTGAACACACGCCTCCGCCGAGCCCCTTTGAGGCGGCGCCCAATGAGCCCCGAAAGCACACGGGTGTTATCCGGAGTAGAAAGGGCGGGACGAGCACCTCCACAGCCCTTTTAAGCTTTCCACCCTCCATTCTCTTCCTGGAGTCCAGTTATTCTATTAACTCCCTTAAAGAACCACAGCCCCTCCCGCCTTAAAATCCGGGCCTCTACTACTGTTCCCAAGGTGTCCGCTGCGTTCTGCCTTCACCACCCTACCCCACCCCGCGCACCCGCCTTCCGTCAGGTTCAGCTTTCTCAGCTCTCCACTAGGCCACTGTGTACCCCCAGCCCGGACACAATCATGTAGGCTTAGACGGTTTGGTTAAGTTAAATTTTATCATCATGTGACACTGAGTCCAGCTACTGAGAGCTGCACACACCCAAGTTCAGGACTCGATCTTAGTCTATTGATACCCTGGACCCATTGCTCAGAAGGGACACACTGCAGTGAAGGAAGGAGTAACCTGTGGAGGTTACTGAGGATAACCTGAGATATCCCTTTAGTTAAGAGGTTCTCAACCTTGGCTGTACGTTATTGTTATTACTCTGGGGTACAGCCTAGGCAAAAGAATTTTGTAAAACTTCTGGTTAATTCTAGTGTGCAGCCAGGGTTGAGACCACTGCTTTAACCCCTAGGACAGATGGGTGGGGCCTGGGATGGCCAGAAGCACTAGGCCAGGCCCCTTCAGCTGGGAGCAGCCTCAACCCTTTATCCCAGGGTGCTGCACAAATCATTGTTAACATTTTCTATGTGTCCCAGGCTGTGGAAAAAGGAAGCTCTGCCCTACAGTAAGAAACGTATCTGACAGCCTTATGTAAGGCAGTTGGAAGAAAGACACAATAATCTCAGGAAGAGGTAAGGAAAGCCCAGGCTAGACAGGGAATGTAGGAGGGGAGAGCAATGATAGTCACAGACAGAGTGGTGGATTATGGTGGCTAACAAGATCGAAGTTTTTGGCAACCTGTGGCACTTTCAGTTGTCACAAGGGCTGACTGCACTGACTGTGTCCCAGCTGGCTCAGAGAGCATTGCCAGAACTGCTGTGGTTTTCCTAGGGCCCCCAAGACCATGAATGGACCACGGTCATCAGGCTTGGCTCAGTCTCAGACACGAGCAAATTGAACTGTGGCCATTCAGATTTTCAGAAGAGCGTCTACTTTATGAAGGCCAAAGGCCCTTTCTTACATAGGGCATCAGCTGCACTCCTGAGGATGATTTCTACACAAGAGATTAAAAAAAAATAAGCTCTGTGCGTGGCCTGAACATGCTCATGACAGCATTTTCTGTAGTAATGACATTCCAATAATAAAAGAAATGAATAAAATGTGGGATTTTAAATAAAAATTGTATATAGCCATTAAAATATCCTTATGAAAGAATATGAATGAGCCAGAAAATGTTCACAAGTAAGAAAAGAATGCACAAATTCTTTTCGGAAAGCAAAATTAGATTCATCTTTTGCTTGGAGTAGTTTTCTCTTGTTCAGTAGCTAAACTATGACTACAGAGTAGTCAGAATATGTAGGCATGTTGGCAAAGCCTGAAGAAACATGCAAACATGATGATATTATTCTTAGAAGTGGTGGGATTATGGAGGAAAGGTAGTTTCTTTTTCAAAATTGTCCTAATGAGATAGGCGTTATAGCAGAGAAATTAGCAGGAAGCTCTCTTGAGCCAGACCGTCTGGGTCCTGGTTCTGCCACTTATTGTATGGATGAGCACTGGCAAGGTTAAAACCTTTCGGTGCCTCAGTTTATTCATCTGTAAAATGGGGTGATAGTCCCTCTCTTGGTTAGTTGTCGTGAGGTTTAATCAACGTGTGGAAATTCTTAGAACAGATAATCTCATTAGTACAGATGCATAGATGAAATGCACTGGACCCAAGTAAACAGCATTGTTTTTAGTTGCTTTTCTCTGTTATTGCTATAGAAATAACCATGATCTCATTGACTGGCAGGCAAAGTGACTGGGAAGACTTAGATTGGGTGTGGTCACTTTCATGGTCCCTTTGGTTAACTTTCCAAGTGTGTCCACATTGTAACTTGGGAGGACAACAAAGATAAAAGAATCTGAGTCTTCGCATAAGCAAACCTGAGCAGCCGGAAGTGGTTCCTTGATTCAGTTACCATTTATTGGGGGCCTACTGTGTCAGGCACTAGGCCAGAGCCTCTGCTCTCGCGGAGCTCAGTCTACTGGGGAGTCAGACATGTGACCAGACGTTCCTGATGGTTCTCAATGCCACTGCAACAGTCACCACACCAAGTGTGATAGGAGAGTTTGGGAAAGCTTTCAATGGAGCTGGGGCTCACGTGATAAGTAGGACACGTTTAGGCGACAGGAAAGGGGGAAGGGCATTCTGGGCAGTTGGAAGTAAAATAAGTACAAAAGAACAGAGGTGTGAAAGGTCATGGCGATTAAAGCTGCAGAGCTGGGGCAAAGCCAGGCTGAGCTCTGCTGTCCGTGCTGAAGCATTTGAACTCTTCTGTAGGCCGTGTTGTGGGTGGTGTTTAGGCACAGGTGCTTTGAAGCAGGGGAGTGACATCAGAGTTAATGCTGGAGTCTGGGGTTTAAGGGAGAACTATCACTGGTGGATTATATGGGTGATAAACCAGAATGCAGGGACTGGAAGCAGGGGAGGCTGAAGGAGTCTTTTGCAATAATCCAGGCAAACGATGACAAGGATTTGCACTTAAGGCAGTAGAACTGGCAACAGAGAGGAGAGGATGGAGTTGAGAAATCTTTCTGAAGTAGAACAAAAAGGATGTGGTGCCTGAAGAGACTTGAGTTGGAGGTGCAGAGCTAGGGGAAAAAGCGGAGTCAAGGACTTGGGTAGGGGAATTCCCTGGTGGTCCAGTGGTTAGGACTCCGTGCTCTCACTGCCAAGGTCCCCCGTTCAATCCCTGATTGGGGAATTAAGATCCCACAAGCCTCACAGCCAAAAATTTAAAAAATAAAAAATAAAAAGAGTACACATGAAAAGATAAGAATAATAAGTAAAAAGAAAAAAAGGACTTAGGTAGCAAAACTGGAAACGGGATGGGTGATGCTCTGAGGCACTTCTATGCTGTTGGAGTTCTCATCGAACTCCACATTTTTTTTTTATGCTAATAGCACATGGTTGGGAAGACCAACACAAATTTTTAAATAATTTTTATAAAATACAAGGGAAATAATTTATTAATCACTGATGTTGAGACATCACTTAATATTATGCTTGTCCATACCAAGGATATAAGGATTTCAGTAACATACCTTTGCCTACTACCTCCCTAAATCCTTCTGTAAATTGTGAGATTTGAGGGACAGGAGAGAGGAGAAGTTGTTCCTTTTGAATCTCAAAATGATGTTAGACAAGAGAAGCCAGACACGAAAGAATACATAATATGCAATTACATTTAGATGAAAATTTACAATAGGCAAAACTAATTTATAGGGGCAGAAAGCAGATATCAGTGATTATCTGGGGCTGGGTGGGAGAGGGAGTGGCTGACTGCACAGGGGCATGAAAGAACTTTGAGGGGTGATGGAAATGTTCTATACCTTGATTGTGTTGGTGATTATGCCAGTGTATACATTTATCAATATGGGCTCATCAGATTTTCAGCAGGAGGGGTACTTGGGCAGGTGCACCACAAGAGGGCAACAGCAGCAGAGGATGCTGGCAGCCCTCAGGCCATCGACCAAGTACCAGCTCTTAGTGGGAACTTCCAAGCTGAGGCTAAGGGATGGGAATCCCCAAGGAATTGTTTGGTGATGACCAGCAAAACTGAGTGGAGAGAGGGGCGCCTAGAACCTTTTCAGGTAAAAATACCCCCTTCATTTTTGTTTTCTCCAAGAGCCATAATCATTCAGTAGGGAGGGGGCTTGAGGGGACTGTGTGTGGACAAAGTAGCCAAGTAACTTTAACTGGAATAAGGTCCCATCTTCTCAGCAGCAATTCCAAAATACAACTGGGAAAAAGCAACTGTAGGAAGAATTCTGTTATAGCTCAGTGAGGGCGTGGGAATAAGTTAGCAACACTATATAAAATTTAACTGTTCAACAAGGTTACTAAAAACAAAACAAAACAAAAAGCTGAAAAAAGACGTGTAGAACCAGTTTAGCCCCATCAGGAGGAACAGGTGTGGAGAACCTTCTTGAAAATATACCTTCCTCATTTTTCTTTCATATATTTAGATTAGGTATCAATACATAAAACTTATTTTTCTTTTATATATTAAATTCATGTCAGGTACATCAGCTCTTGATCAAAGCTGGGGGCATCCTGTTGGACTGTAGCTCTGAAAAGGCGTTTCTATAGCGTTATCCAAAGTAACGGTCCAAACATTCATTAAATACACATTTTTAGAGCACCCACTTCATGCCAGGTTCTGTGCTGGTGCTGAGGACAGAACCACGGACAAGGCAGACGTCAGCCCTGCCCTGTCTTGCAGTTTTCTAGAGCCTCTAGGGTTCACACAGCCCTGCATATTCTTTCTTCTTTTTCCTCCAAGTAGCCTGATTTTTCAGACTGAAATAACATACTTAGCAGTAGGCACTTGTCAAGTTTGTGGCTGTCCAGCATCTTTGGAATACTTGTCCTACATTTTCTCCAAGATACAATTCCTAACCTCCTGAAGGCAGAAGCCAGAACTAGGTTTCCCAGCCTTTCCCGAAGCCATGGCACAGGCAATGACCTAGGTGTGGCCAGTTGGTGCCCACGTGATTCCTTGATCAAGAAGAGAGCAACTGAAGGATGCAAGTTTCATGAAGAATCCGTTTTCAAGAGGGGATGAGGGTGGAAGAATCCAGCTTTTGATGAAATAAAATTTTTAAGGTGGGACAAGGAAAGTTTTAAGCATAAAATTGTCTGCCCCTTTGAGCCACTACCCCCTCCCCTTTAGTGTGCATTGTGTATCTGCCTTATACATTAACTAGATACCCTTAGAAGACACAGGAATGCCTACTCACTCCCCTCCACCCTCCCAAAAAAGCAATTTCCTCCTGGTGCCAGCAGGGTAATTCCTTGGAGATAACATTCCTTTCTCAATCCTGTAAGGGGTCACAATAGCCCACTACATGCCTTGTTGGAGTATGTAAACTGTCAGTATGTTACATTGATGTATAACCCTTTGTCTCAAAAACTTACATAACTGTATCTCGACCTCTAACAGGTGGAACAATCCTCAGAGCTTTCTGAAAGACTGTCTCCCAGGTTATAACCCTCAGGTTGCCTCCAATAAAATTTTCCATTTCTTTTTTTTAATTAATTAATTAATCTATTTATTAATTTATTTATTTAGGCTGCTCCGGGTCTTAGTTGTGGTATGCGGGCTCTTAGTGGCAGCATGCATGCGGGATCTAGTTCCCCGACCAGCGGTCGAACCCGGGCCCTCTGCATTGGGAGCGGGGAGTTTTACCCACTGGACCACCAGGGAAGTCCCTATGTCTTTCTTAGATTGACTACTGATTAAATTTTGGTGACACTTTCCATGGCAGCATTGATGACATTTTTGGCACTCAGTGTCCAGCAGTGTGAACTGTCTCTGCACAGCTGGCCCACAGAATGGTTTGTTTCTGGCGGTACCAGAGATACCGCGAGCTACCTAAGATTCACAATTGCGTATCTTTTTAAAGCTAGTTAAAGGGAGTTCTGCTCTTTGCAAAGAACTGTGACTAATACATATACTGAGCTCTTGTTCCATGCCAGACTCTAGGCTGGCACAATCCTCTGTTGCTTTACCTAAACTTCATAAAGATCATTTAAGGTACAAATTATTATACAGTTTACACCTGAAAAAATCCTGAGATTCAAAAGGACACAATTCATTCTACAAATATTTATTAAAGGCCTACTGTGTGCCAGCCACTGGGAATACAGTATTGAACAAAATATTTCCCCACAACTATAAAAAGAATGGCATATTGTATTTTAAATGTCCCCTTACCAAAATAAGAGGCACAGTACAGCAGCTGTCTGGAGAGAAAGACCTCCAGGCAGGCCTCGTTTTAAATATAGAAACCCCCTAAAAATAGCCACCCACGTTACAGACTCAACAGGTGATTGGCCGGAACAGAGGGGAGGGGAACCGAGGCCTCAGTGAAGGAGAAGGAAAGGACGGTGCCGTTGTCCCCAGCTTCTCTCACTGACATGGCTTTGCCTCTGAGGTCCTTGGGTCGGGGCTTGGCCAGTGCGGCCAAGGGAGACCACGGAGGGACAGGAGGTGAGTTGCAGCCAGGGCCTGACCCTGTGGCTTCCTGACCTTGTCCATCTGTCCCCCACTCCTGCCTCTGGGACGTTCCAGGGTCCTGGCGACGCCTCCCCCTCCCGCCCAGTCCGTCTCTCTCTCAGCCCTGCCTTTCCCCGCTGCAGCCCGCACCTGGCGCCTCCTGACCTTCGTGCTGGCGCTCCCGAGCGTGGCCCTCTGCACCCTCAACTCCTGGCTCCACTCGGGCCACCACGAGCGCCCAGAGTTCATCCCCTACCATCACCTCCGGATCCGCTCCAAGGTACACTGGCCCGCGCGGGCGCGAGCGAGGGGGTGCGGGGGACCCCCAGGCTGACGCCTCGCTCCCCCCTCCCTCTCTCCACAGCCCTACTCCTGGGGAGACGGCAACCACACTCTTTTCCACAATCCCCGTGTCAACCCTCTGCCCACGGGCTACGAAAAGCCTTGAGGCCTTGGACGATTCCCCCAGACGCAATAAAAGTGTGGAAGCCGGGTGTGGCCGTGGGCTCCATGGGGACCACGGGGCGGGGCGTCCATGGCTAGAGTTGGGCTTGTGCGCGAAGTGCAGTGGGCGCTCCACGTGCTCTTCCGGAGACCTTGACTTGGGAGGGACTCGAGGGAACAGCCTCGATGGACAGGTAGGAGATGGCCCCTCCCCTCTCACCTATTAATAATTAGGGCTCTAGGCTGTAAAGGGCTTTAATATACACTGACTTCTCACAGTAACTCTGGGAGCAAGGTCTAAATTTGGTTCCACCTTCTCCAGAGGAGGAATATGAGATTCTCAGAGATTAAATGACTTAAATTCAGGCAGCTCGTCGGAGGCCCGGTGGAGACTCAGGGCTGCAGATCCTGAGGTACCACTCTTTTCCTGACACACATTCAGGGCCTCTGTGATTTCCCGCTGTCTAGAGACAATTGTGATTTCAAACACAGGATCTACAGCCCTCTGTGTAGATCTTCATGACCTAATTCTGGATTTGGAATATTTTGGTCATTCGCTATGACCACCTTTAATGGGTCTTCTGTATTAGTTGGGGGAAATTAGATGTTCCCTTTCTGGAAGCCTGGTTCTCCTAGTTTTGGGGGACCCCATTCAAGGGGGATGTTGGTTCAGACAAGCTCTGGACATTTCATTCACCTCCTAGGACAGTCAGCTCACTTGCCATTACCAAGGAGCCTGACGCCTAAGCTGAAACCCATGACCAACACACAAACACACACACACAGATACACACACACACACACACACACACACACACACAACTTATTTTGCCCTCCTCTCCTGAAACTAGTCACGGCACCATTAAGAAAAGATGCTCACAGGCCCCAGTCACCTGAGAAAGAGAGAACATTTTCTGTACCCACAAGCAGCCCCTCCCCCCTTACAGCATTCAGGTCCCTAGATTAGAGCTCTTTCATACAAGGAAACTGTGTTATAAACATCCTCATTTAATGTGACAGTTCTTATACATATGAGAATTCATGCTGGCATCATGCCCGCTTCTGTAAAAAGTGGGTCATCACTGAAGTCTGGTAGATATGTAAAAACATAAAAACCTTTCGATGCCTTGGGAAGATGGCTTAGCACCTGGCAAGTTGCTCAGGCCAGTCCAGATCTACACAGAAGTTACTCCCATGGAAGTCAGCCCATGGGGGTACAGCTAAATGGGAAAGTGGATTCTTAGGACAAAGGCTGATTGGGGGCCTCACCGCTGAGATACTCCCCATTGAATGTGACAGTGTCTTCAGGGTTGTCACCCATCATTTCTTTGTATTGACGTTTGAAGAAGCCACACTGTGAGGGGAAATAAATCAGAAAATCTGGATCAGAGGGCAGGGTAGGAAGTTGGGAGTAGGAAGAAGCTGAGACAGAAGAAGGAAGCCAAACTGACTTGTATTTGTGTGCCAGAACACTTATGTGAACAACAGCTATCACGTACTGAGTGTCTTCTCTATGCCCAGCTCAGTAGCCGTACACACCATCCACAGCAGAAAAGCAAAGATTCTGCATACCCTGGCCTCATGTCTGTCTCATTTCAGTCACTCTATGATGTAGGCATTATTTCATTTCGAAAATGTTGAAAGGGCCTCAGGGAAGTTGAGCAACTTGCCTGACATTATACAGCGAGTCAGAGTGAAAATGTGTACCTGGACCTGCCTGACTTCACTGTCTGAGTTCTCCCTGCTATACCCTCCTGTCTGTGGGAGGGCTGGGGTTGGGTGCTGGTGGTGTCAAGAGTGTGATGAAAGCACTCACCTTGTACAGTGTAGCTGTGATGAGAGCCAGCAGCAGCAGTCCTCCCACAGAGCTGCTCACAATGAGGGGGATGGGGTTGTAGACCTCATACTCTTCTAGCACCATCTCCACCTGATTTGGGGATCAGAAAGTATCAGGCTGTTCCAGACTCCTTCCAGTTTCCCAATCTTTAACTCCCTCCCTTTCTTCATCAGTCTCTGCTCCAAGGGGTGAGATACAGAAGCATTCATGGGCTTAGGAACAGTTGCCTGCCTAGGGACCTCCATCCTTCCTCCCTCCAGGCTTGCAAGCCCCCCACCCAGCATCACAGATTTAGCATCAGGAGCTCTCTGATCAGCCTGGTCACTGCCTACCACACGATCACTACCTGGGCTCTCAAAAATGCCTCCTGTCCTTGAAGCTGGGAATACATGGATCTGTTGAAAATGATTTCAGCCACACTCACGACACATGTCTTCTTCTGCAAAGTCTACAAAAAAGAAGGGGAGGGCTGGGAACTAGCTCTGGGGAGGGCTTGGGGTTAGAGAAACACCCTGGCTTGAGGTGGGCACAGACACATCAGGCCCCACCTGAGTCTGGGAAGGGACACACCTGGCTGGCCCAACCGAAGCTGAGGTTGCCCTTCAGAATAAAGTCAAGTTCCTCCTGGACGCCAAAGGAGGGGATATCACAGCAGAACCTCAGGCAGGCAGCAGTGGAGCAGTCCTGGGGACAGGAGAGGAGTGAAACTGAGGCGGGTCTTCACTTAAGGAGGAACCACAAGAGAAAATGAAATCTATCACATTTGGGGTGGGGAATAGATGGACAATCCCCATCCTACCCCTTTCTCTCTCTGCTTCAGTTTTCCCACCTTAAAATCTTCCAGTTCTAAACCTCTTTTCAAATTTGAGTAAATCACTCAGCTTCTCCAGTCCTTGGAGAGGCATGTAGTATATGGCCATGGGCACAGCTCTGGAGCCAAACCACCTGGGTTTGATTCCTGGTTCTGCCACTTACCAGCTGAATGACAGGGGTAAAAACCTCTGGATTTCCTTGTTGGCAAAAAGGTGTATAACAGTAACTATATCGGGACCTCCCTGGTGGCGCAATGGTTAAGAATCTGCCTGCCAGTGCAGGGGACAGGGGTTCGAGCCCTGGTCCAGGAGGATCCCACATGCCGCGGAGCAGTTAAGCCCGTGCACCACAACTACTGAGCCAGCGCTCTAGAGCCTGCGAGTCACCACTACTGAGCCCAGGAGCCACAAATACTGAGCCCACGTGCCACAGCTACTGAAGCCAGCGAGCCTGGGGCCTGTGCTCCGCAACGTTAGAAGCCACCACAATGAGAAGCCCGCGCACTGTAACGAAGAGTAGCCCCCGCTCGCCGCAACTAGAGGGAGCCCGTGCTCCCGCAGCAACGAAGATCCAACGCAGCCAAAAATAAATAAATAAATAAATAAATTTACAATAGCTATATCACAGAGCTAATAGAGTGGTTAAATAAATGTAAATACATGTAAAGTACTTAAAACAAGGCCTGGCATATCGTAAGTATATATGACTGTAAGCTCTTATTGTAAATTTCAGTGTTTTCCCGTGGATAGAAGGGGAAATTCACACATGGAATTTGGAAGGGCAATGACACTGCCTGAACCCCCTCTCTAGTTCCCCTGAAAATTGGCACAGCAGCAGCAGCAGCAAACTCTGTCCCATGGCAATATTATAAGCTTCTGATCAACCCTAAAGCCTCTGGAATTCAGCCAGGTGGGTGGGGCTCCTTGTCCTGCTCCCACCCTTGCCCCTTCCCCAACCTTTAGAACCCAGAGCAGCAGCCCTACACTTGCCTTTCCTGTGGCCTGCTCAGCCCTGGGCTCTTAAAAACCGTCCCAACAGTTTCTCACATCTCTGCTGTCCTCTGAGTTTTGTGAGAACCTGACCTTCTCTTCACCCTGTGTGGTGACAGACCATATCCTGTTGGGCACAAGCTCCCCACTTCAGAGTGCTCAGAAAAGCCTCAGTCTTAATCTAGTAGCTTCAATTCAGCGTATTCGTGTTTAGCACAAAGGCTGGAACTGGCTTCATGTTAAAGGAAGCCTGCATCTTGGAGAGAGAGAAGAGGATACACAGTGGTGGCAAGGTATGTGTGTCCCACCAGCAGGTCAGTTCGTCAGAGAAGAACCAAGAATTGTGGGATATGGTGCTATGGTATAAATATATGGCTGGTCACAAGAATCGCCATGTGGGGAATCAGAGTGGCTAGCTTAGATACCCATCCTCAAAAGAGCAGGCTGGCCTGCAGGGCGAGGTACTAGGCTTGGAGGAAGCTCCAGGGAGCTCCCCACCACCAGGGTCTGCAGGCTGAACAAGGAAGGACAAGACTGGGACAGAGACTCAAGGAAGTAGGTTGGAATTGAATCAGGGGCAGGGGCAGGGCTGTGGGAACTCACGAGCTACAGGCTGATAACTGTCCAATCAAAAGCATTTCTTTGTTAGAAGGAGAGCCAAAGGGAAACACAAGGACTTCTCATCCTATGAGGATGGGAGACCCAAAAGCTTGAGTGTCTGGCTATAAAAGGAGATAGAGCTCACTCACCCTGAGAAGCTGAGGCTGACACTCAGGTCCCCTTGCCCACAGTTCTTCTCAAAGGGGAGCTGCAGCAAAACAGTATATTCTCTTCCCATCCATGTCTTAATCCATCTCCAATCCCCTCATTAGGAGCACTCATCGACATTGAGTATTAGCACCCACCCTGCACCCAGCACCGTGCTAAACACTGGCAAGTAGGGCAATGAGGGAGGGGCAGTTAGAATATAAAGGGAAGATAAGAGAAGATCCTTGGCTTCAAGGAACAGAAAGCTTAGCTAAGGAGTCAAATCCAAATCACACTGGAACAACCATTCAACAAACATTATAGATTGTCCATGATGGAACAGGTTCTGGGTCAGGAAAGGTGGGAACTACAGGTGAATGAGACACGGTTCTTGCACTCAAGGAACCTTCAACACCAAAGGAGCCACAGAAGTAGACACAGATTGCTATGAGTCCAGTCACATGGTATTTGGCATGGTATCACCATGACACAACAAGAGGCCAGAGAAGAGGTGACAGATGCTGAATGTAGTGTTCAAAAGAGAGGGAGATCAGACTGGGGCTTTGGGGACTAGAGGAGATCTTTGAGATGGAGAGAAGGCGATGTTTTCCAAATAAGAAATATGGCATGCAGGAAGGATGTAAAAATCAACTTCCAAACAATGTCTTAATCTGTTTATTATGTGCCCTTACTAGGAAAACTATGAGCAGTTCTAGGTACCTATGATCCCTTGACAGTGCCTCCTCTGAAAGAATAAGGGAATTGTAATGTGAAAATGGAAGGAAGGAAGGAAAGAAGGAAGGAGGGAAAGAAGGAAGGAAGGAAGGAAGGAAGGAAGGAGGGAAAGGAGGAAGGAAGAAAGACGATATGGATAGAAATGAGAAAAGTTGGGAAGGGTCTGCAGAATGAGAACCAGAGAGTTTATGTTGGGGTGAAGTGGATAACCAGCTGGGATGTGTGTAGGGATCCAAGCTGGGCAGGGCTGTGGTAACTGGGTGGAAGCATTTTAGATTTGAAGTGGTTGGTGGGAGCCACTGTTGGCTCTAAAGCACATGGAGACACAGTGAAAGTCAGCACACCCCTGGGACTTCATCGGAAAACTCCCAGAGGCAGTGAAGCGGTCCTGTGAGCCCACAGCCAGCACAGGGTGCAGGTTCTGAGATGAGGAGGTGGGCTCCCCAACCAGGAAGAAGTTGAGTCGCAGGATGATCGGGTTCCCCACGTCCTCCACACAGTCCTGAGGGAGAAGGGGCATTCAAGAAGCCGCTCTCCTCCTCCTTACTTGCTACTACTTGGGCTTCTCCTCCACTGCATCCATGCCCCGCTGTCCAGACAGCACCCCATCCACGCTGTGGAGCCAGGTTCCTCGGGCCCGACTTTCCCCTCTCCAGCTGCAGGCTCCCACCCTTCCCACCTCACTCAGCAGGGAGTGGAGATGCCAGAGGCTAGCCTTGGGCTCCTTCCTCCCTCTCCCTTTCCCAGAACCCAAAGTCCTCACTGGTAGAAGCAGCTTCATGGTGTCACAGTGCTCTCCCAGCCCTAGGGTTTTTCTTCGAGTCAAAGTCCAGTTCTTGGTCTCATTAGACATGGCACGAGAAATCAGACCACCTGGGTCCAACGCCAGATCATACATGACAGAGCTTCGGACGTCACCTGAAGCAGAAGGGGGAATGGAAGACGGAAAGTGAGAGAAGCGCAAATGTTCTGTTTTCATTGTTTCATGCGATAAAGACTTGCTGAGCGCTTTCTGTGGGCCATGAACTGTACCAGGTGATGGGGATACACGTGGGGAAGGTGGAGAATTATGGTCCCTGCCCTCATAAGCTCACAGCCTAGAAACAGAGACCAGCACATAGGACATAACATCACAGCGAGATCCATGCAAGGGTGGGGTCCTCAGTGGTACCCAAGAGGGCTTGTTAACTCAGGCTGGGGGTCAGAGATGCTTTCCTGGATGGGCCTCGTCTGAGCTCCAACCTGGAGGATGAAAAGGAGTCAGGTGAAAAGCGGGGAGGAGAAAATCCCAGACTCTGGGAATAGTGGCTAAGACCAGAAGGGAGAGGGAGGTTGGCACATTAATTAAAAAGGAGCTCCCTGGAGGTCCAGTGGTTAGGACTCTGCACTTTCTCTGCCGAGGGCCTGGGTTCAATCCCTGATGGGGGAAGTGAGATCCCACAAGCCACATGGCCAGGTCAAAAAAGAAAAGAAGTGTATGGCGTAGGGGGGAAGGGGACAAGGTGAGGCTGGAAAGGCAGAGAGGGACCAAATCATGGGGTCATTGTGGGCAAAACTTCTGGTCTTTATAAATGCAAGAAAGGGGCGGTTGAGGGGTGTTAAACAGTGTTTAGGACCAATCGCTGTAGTTCCCTGTGGAGAGTGCAGGGGGCGTGCAAGAATAGCCGTGGGCACAGCTCAGAGTGGGTGGGAAGGCGAAGCCGTGTCCTCGAGGAAGGCGGTGGAGAGAGCAGACCTCGGATGTGTCCTGGAGACAGAACCTAGAGGCCCGGGTGTGGGAAGAGGGAGGGAGGAGGACAGCTGGGTGGACATGGAGGTGAGATTTGGGTTCCTGGGCTCATTCTGTCCTGAGGATATAGGGCTGGGGGCCTCTCGGGGGCAGTGAGGGTCTGGGTCTACCAGGAGGAAACTCACCTAGCTGGTCCTGTGAGCTTTTGTGGATAGTGAGACAGACTGTGGCGTCCCCAGCTTCCAGGGCGGTGGGCAGCTCTTCGCAGCACTGGTACACAGACTTTGTCACCTCCGGGGGCGTGAATCTCATAGCCACCTCCACGTTCAGCACCGGCAGGCTCCTGAGGGTGCATGAGGGGCTGAGGGCGGGCCTCTGGCCCCCAGAAGGAGAACAAGGGAGGGGGCAGCTTAGTGAATCAGACACAAGGGGCAGGCAAGGGGGGAGTAGGGGAGTTTTCACCTGAGCAGCAGCGCGTGCCCCTGGGCCCCGATGGCCAGGTCCACCAGTCCATCCTGGGTGAGGTCCTGACCCCCGCTCAGTGAATGCCCGAAATACTGGAGCCTGGGGGAGAGCTGGGAGCCTGCAATCCGCTGGCCAGGGAAGGATAAAAGCAGTGCAAATCAAGGAAAGGGGATTGGAAAGGTTGGGGAAGAAAGATTTGGAAAGGACACTGAGTAGAGAAGTTGAAGAGCGGGGAGGAGGGGAGAGCAAGCAAAGTGAGGACCCCACAGTCCACAGGCAGAGAGGAGAGCACTTTGGGTCCAATGAGCACCACGAAGGTGCAGGCCAATGACAAAATCAAAGCGTAATGATGGGAGCATAATAGATTCATTTATTCATCGTTTACACATTGATTCATAAATTACGTATGTTCATTCATAAATATTTGAGGAATGGAGTGCTTAGTGCTCTCACTGAGTTATCTTTACAAGAAGCCAATAGAATTTGCTCATCCTTTCATAGAAGGAAACCAGGGCTCACAGAGGCTAAATCGGTCACTTGCCTGAGGCCACGCAGCTCACAGGGCTGGTCAGGCATTTGACCTGGGGCCTGTGATCTCTTAACTACTAAGCTGCCCACACACTCTGAAGTCTGGAGTCAAAGGAGAGAAAGAATTTGTGCTTAGCTGGGCCTGGGGAAATTCAGGAAAGTAAACCACTGAAAGCAGGAAGGGAATGGTCACTGCCGAGGCCGGTGACGGGAGGCGGCATCAGGTGAATCTACGACGGGGGGAGGAGGCGAACAGAAGAGGCTGAAGCAGAGAGGCCTCACCTGGCTGTGGGCGGGGCTGATGCCCAGTCCCGAGGTTCCGTGAAACAGGTAGACAGCACCCCGGTTCTCCTGCTCTCCCGGGGCCCTGATGGCCACGTCCGACAGCCTGTCCCCGTTCACATCCCCCAGCACCGTCAGAGCTGCCCCAAAGCGGCCCCAGGGGTGGCCTTGCTCCCCTCGCAGGACAGCACCACACTGCCGCTTAGCCCTCTGCAGAACACAAACAGTGTCAGGTCCCACCCCAGGCGACCCCTCCACACCCAGACCCCACCCAGCCCGGGTCTCATCAGCCACTCACCCCCCGGGGAAAGGGGCACACGGACACCTGCCCACCCCGGCTCTGCTCATAGTAATGGGGGGCCCCGATGAGGACCAGGTCGGAGCTGCCATCTCTGTCCACGTCCACGGAGCTGAGGGAGGCCCCGAAGTAGGAACCGATCTGGAGGGCAGAGCGTGGAGTCATCCTGCCTACCCCTGCACCCGCGCTGGGCCAGGTCCCGCCTCTCCCCGGATACCGGCCCCTCCCTGCTGGACCCCACACCCCCTTCATCTCCCTCTCTGCCCCTGGAGACCCTCCTCCACACCCAACCTGGGTCCCTGTGACTTCAGCCTTCAGTCTCCATTGCCCGGACACCTGCGTGAAGATGACAACCTTCCCGGTGTGCTGATGGCGGGGGGCCCCCAGGACCAGGCTGTGTACCCCCTTCCAAACGGCCAGCTCTGTGGAGTAACCTGAGGGGACCAGGCCTCAGCACAGAGGCTTCCACTCCCCACCCCCGGGCCCCTGCCCTTCCCAGGCAGCCCGTCTCCCGCCCGGCCCTCTGACCACAGCCTTGCCTCACCCAGGTAAGAGTCACTCATGTCCGCGTGCTCCTGAGACACGTGGATGAAGGTGGGGCTCCTATTTTCGGGGTACAGGAAGGCACCTCCAGACCAGCTGAAGCTCCCCACAGTCCCCAGAACTGGTCCATCCTGGGAGGAAAGGATTCCAGGGCTGAGCAGGTGGGAAGAAGAAGAAAACAGCCTATTCGGAAGCAATGGCTGCCACTGACTCCGCCCATCATGTGGAATTCTCTTTGCTCTTCCCTGGCTCTCACCAGCAGCCTCCGTGTCCCTGATTCCTACATCTCTCAGTCCGTCCCCACTGCCGCCATCACGGTCACCCCAGCGCCTCTCACCCACTGCCCTTCCTGCCTCCTAGCTTGCTTTCCTCTGTTTCATCTACTGCCCCAGAGTTGGGTTTCTTCCAACCCAAACGTGCAGCCACGACCCTGCTGGCAAACCAGGGAGGCTCACTGCCCGCAAGCTCCTGAGGGTGGCATTTAGGATCCTTCCCAATCGAGCCTGCGCAGTGCCACTCTGTTCCAAAATACACCAAGCCTCTGGCCTGGACGCTCCTCTCTCCTCTTTCTGGGACGCAGCTCCTCTCTCTGGAAGAGTCAGCCTCTAAGTCAGCTCTGCGAGGTCTTCCTAGGCTCCCTCAGAAAGGGATTGGCATTTCCTCCTCTGAATGCTTACTGCCTTTTCAAACTTTTGCTTGTGGCTAATTTAGGACATATACAACAGCCAAAAGAAATGTGTAATGAATCCGTAAGAACCCGTGACCCAGCGTCAGTGATTAACTCATGACAAACATTGTTCCACGTCTACGTCCCCCTCAATTGCCCTCAAAGTTATTCTGAAGCAAATCTCTCTGGATATTTTGAACACACATCTACTTTCAGACAATTGTCTGTCTATATTGTCACTTCTTTGGTCTGCACGGGCTGGTCTTTCCCATCTCTCCCACCCTCTCTCCGTGCTGCCCCTAGCTCACTCTGCTCCAGCTGTGCTGGCCCTTCTATCTCTCTAGTACAGTAACCTTGTTCCTGACTCAGGACCTTTGCACTTGCTTTTTCCTCTACCTGGAGCAATCTCTCGCCATATTTTTCCAGGCCTCGCCCTTTCTCATCATTCAGCCTCAGCTGTTACTCCTTAGGCCTCCTCTGACACCTCTCTTTCTCTATCCCAATGCTTAGCACAACCTGAAAGTCTTTCGTTTGTTTGTCCTTTGTCACCGCCTCCCACTAGTTATGCGATCCAGGAGAGGAGGAACCTCCGCTATCCTGTTCTCTGTACCTACATACACTGCCTGTATGTCTCTCCCGGACTAGATGGTGAGCTTGAGGACAGGGTCTGCGTTCTTGTTTATTCTGGTTCCCAGCTCCCAACACAGGGCTGGTGCCTGATACTCGTTAATCGAGCACACACTCCACTCACGGTTGAGCACGGAACTGAAGCCTTCTTGAGACATCTCATGCTGGAAGGAGCGACTTGTCTTTGACTGCGTTCCTGTGGGCAAACAGGTCAATCAGGCTCCCGGAGACCTTGAGACCATGAAGATTCAGAGCAGAAAGAGGAGAATGTGGTCTGGGGCTTGGGTTCTGGGGAACAATTTGGGGTGAGCTATGAGCAGGGATGAACCTTCAGGACTGAGGGGCACAACTGGGTCGCGACTCTTTCAATTCTGAGACCCAAGGTCACTCCCCATTTACCCTCGACTGCAAAGATCTCCTGCAGCTGCTTCTGGGTGTTGCTGAGTGCCGCAAAGTTGTCCACCTTGAACACGTGGTCCTCCGAAGGCACTGAGCCAATGATTCAGCTCTGTCCTGGCAGTGGGATCCTGGAAAGCATCTCCCACCTGTGGCAGAGAGGCAGCCGAGGAGGAAGAGCCAGCCAGCCTTTCTGCCTGGGGGAGGTACAGGCTGAGTCTGGGGGAGCCATGAGGAAGGGGACGCACCCCAACGGCATAGCGGACGATGCGGGCTCTGTCTGCCTGGGGGATGACGTCGCTCTATTTCAGGGAGTCTTGGCAGTTTTACGGGCCCCATTCTTACTGTGAAATAGTTCTTTCCTATCGAGGAAGAAAAAGGGGGTGACTCTACTGAGATTCTGGGAAGAAATCATTTGCAGCACTAGAAGCTCCTCTGGAAAGACTGGGGAGTCCTGGCGCCCTGAGACTCAGGTATGTTAAGACATGGATACATACTGACAATCATTAGTGAGACTGAGAACAAAGGTACTCATATTCCTTGTTCCTAAAGTTCCATCCGCTACAGAACCTCATTCCCAGGAGGCAACAAGGCAAGTTACTTCACCTCTCTGCGCCTTTGCTTCTCTCCATGCAAGATGAGAGCAATAATTGTACCATAGCTGGTCTCCAAAGATGGCCCCCAGTGAGCCACACCTGGTTTCTTTCCCGTATTGAGCCTGGCCTGTGACTCCGTTTAATCAGCAGCATGCAACAGAAGTGACCCTGTGCCAGTTATGGGCCTAAGAAACCTTGGTAGCTTTTGCACTTTGCGGAGCCCTGAGCCGCCATGAGAGAAGTCTAGCCAACCTGTTAGAGGCACCCCGTGCAGCGGCCACATGAAGAGAGAGGCCCAGCCTCCCCAGCTGAGCCCAGCCTTCCAGCCAATCCTGCCAAGGCAGCAACCACGTGAATGAAGCTCTCATAGTCCAGCCTCAGGTGCCACGTGGCCACAGCCACGTGAGAGACCCCACCTGAGAAGAGCTGAGCCCCAGGATCATGAAAAGGAGTAACAAAAGGGGCGTTGTTTAAGCCACTAAACTTGGGAGCGGTTTGTCAGGCAGCAACAAATAACTGAGACAAATAGTATCAGGTTATCCTGAGGGTCAAATGAGGTGAAGCTTTTCCAACAGTGACTGGCCTACAGGTAAGCATTAATTCTATGGTAGCTATTACAAATGATTAAAAATGTAACATATATGTTCATGCAGTTCTACAAACTCAGAATAAACACACACACACACACACACATATGCACCAAATAACATACACACACCAGATATAATACTGAAGCAACCTAAATGTCCCGTGTTAGGGAAGGGGTTTAGCAAATCATGACCCAGCCCCTTGGTGAAAAAGTACACAGCCATTTCAAAGGAAAACAATAAAAGCTGTAGAGAAGCATGGAACAGGTTTATGGAACAGATGAAAAAAATGGCAAGATGAAGATAGTTCTGCCCTGATTGTGACTATATAAAATATGTCTAAATAAAGACAAGGATGGAAATGACACTGTGCTTTTTGAGAGTAGGATTTATTTATTCATTTGTACTTATTCTTTCTTGTTGCCAAAATACTGCAAGATGGTTGGGTAGAGGAACTGTAGGTAATATTTCTTTTTTTTTTTTCAAAACTTTCCTTAATGTTGTTGCCTTTTTGTCTTTTTTGTAATGAAACTTCTAAAAGAAAAAAAAAAAACAAAACACAGCAACCACCCAGTCAGTGGCAGAGCTGGGCTTGGCTCTAGGGAGCAGGGAGGTGATGGGAGAGGATGGATTTTGATGAGAACTACACCAGCGCCCACTGCTGGGAGGAGCTTTAGGGACTGGGAGAGATGCCTCTCCTGTGTGACTTTCAACTCAAGAGACAGAGGCTTTCTTCCTGGTTGTCCAGTCCCAACAGGTCAGTGTTCAAGGCAGAAAAGCCACCCAAAAGTAAAGAGAGTGCCTTTGGAGAGATCATCCCTTTTTCAATATTTCTCCAGCACCATCCCCAGGGCAGTGCCCAAGGGTGTGCAGGGAGTCAAGGATCCCAGACATTCTACCCAGTTTTTTCCCATGGGAACCACACATTCCACTGTGGTCCCACGACCTAAGCCATTTTCTTCCTGGACCACCTAGCCCCCAGTTCTGGGCAGGCACATGGTACATAGAGACTTGAGTGGATGAGGGATGAAGGGATGAAGAGAGCTGAGTGGTGAGAAAGGCACAAAGAAGACACTTGGAAATAATTCCTGAGTCCCTTCCAGGGAGGTAAAGAGGAGCTGCACCATTTTTTGGATAAAATCCCCAACCATTTATCTCGCACTTCTTGTGCGGAAACACCTCACCCATGTTATCTCGCTTAATCCTTCTAACCAAGTTGTGAGTTTTTCCTCATTGGACAGTTTCCTGAGGCTTAGAAAGAGTCAGTAACTCCAAGGGTGGCCCAGGTAGCTAGCGGAGAGCCAGGATGGGAACCGAGAAGCAAAGCCCAGGTGGGCTCAGGGTCCAGCCAAGCCAAAGCCAGGCAAAGGGGAAACACGCTGCAGAGGAGTCCCGCCCTAGATCAGGGGATGGCAATGAGCGATGGGACCAGAAACACTCCAGGGAGGACTCTGCCTGCAGCCCCCTCGCTCCCCTGTGAGCCCCTTTCCCCAGAGCCTCCCTCAGCCTCTAAGAAGGGCTGTGCAGACCCAGCAGTAGGTAGCAGTGAGGTAGCAGCTCATTCACAGGCAGCATGGGGCGGAGCTTACACCACTGTCTGGGTGCCTGTGGCTGTGAAGGTCAGGCCACTCAGTTGGACGATGGGATCCACCAGGCTCTGAGGGCTCCGGCTGCTCTGAAATTGGCTGAAGGTGAAGTGGGTCTTCAGAAGGTTTGAGTATTGCATCAGCAAGAACTGTGAAGGCCAAGAAGAGGGCCCTGGGGCTCAGGAGTTGTTTTTTAGGAAGTTTTTTATTTTGGAATAATTTTATATTTACAACCCATGTTCCATGTGATTTTGATGCCCGACAAATATATACTGAGACCCAGAAAAAAATAAATGGCCCCCCAAAAAACTGGAAAATCAAAACCAAATAATGTTTCTTTCATAGTTTACAAAGAATACCCTTGCCAACAACAATATTTGTTAAACTTAGATTTTTTAAAAAAATTTATAATACATGAAATCAATTTGTAGTTATATTTCCTTGCTTCTCAAGAATTTGTATATATATATACACATATACACACACACACTGGTTACTGGGAAATAAAACAATAAGATAAAGAAATTGTGAGTTACATGGAAAACATAATAAAGAAATCATCATTTGGCCAAGTTACCTTCAGTCAAATATCACAGTAAGTTGATTTGATAATCCTTTCAATGTATTTAAACAGCAAAAACATTGTATTTCCTGTGGCATGCGGGGACATAGTACATGTGATGGGGGTACCTCCTCAGATTAGGACTCAAATCGGCCCTGCACTGGGACCATACCTTGACCTTGGACCCTGGCCTCCTCATGGCACACGTCCACTGAGCCAGCCCCCAGCGATGCCAGGCCCCCTCCCAGGTTGGCCTTCCCAGAGGTAGACCCTCCCTGATCCCAGTCCCCAGGCCTCGGGGGCCCAGCCTTCACCAGTGTGTGGGTGCCCTTGAACTGGTCCATCACAGCTCTGACAAAGTTCTTCATCCGTTTAAAGTCATTTCGGTCAATGCTGCCAGAGCCGTCAATCAGGAAGACAACGTCTATCTCTTGATGTGGACACTCTGCAGAGAGGGAGGGAGGAATCAGAAATGCATGGGCAGGTCCCAGCCACTTCCTGGGACCCAGAAACCCTTTCTGCTCCACAGAGCCAGGGGGCCATCCTTGGCGTAGGGATGCCAAGGCCCCCTGGCCCACCCAGTTTCTGACACCCTCCAATGAGGAGGTCCAAATCTGTTGCCCAAGCCCCTTCTCCCTTCAGCAGAATCCCTGTTGCTCCCCTCCCTCCACAAGGCCTACAAAAGGGGAGGAAGAAGTAGAGGGTGGGGCCCGGGTGGGTTCCTAACTCATTTAGTCAACGAATATTTATTGAATACACCACCAGGGATACTGTGGGGCTCAGTGGAAGGCAATTTAGCGAAGCGGTTCAGAATGTGCATCCTGGAACCAGCATGCCTGGGCTCGAATCCCACCTCTTCCCACCTCTTAGTGGTGAATGCAGGCAAGTTACGTAACTTCACTGGGCTTCAGTTTTCCCCATCTGTAAAATGGGTGATAGTAGTGCCTACCTCATGGGATTATTGCAAAGATAAAAAGAATGAATATGTACATAAAGTGCTTAAGACAGGGCCTGGCACCCCATGAGGGGTAGCTGTTATCACCATCATCACCACATGCCAGGCATTGTTCTAGGCCCAAGGACACACCTGCAGCGGATGCTAAGGTATGCCACCAAGACCTGCCCCCCACCAGGATGGAGGCGCTCATTCCCAGCTGCAGGAAGCTGGCTGTTGATGGCTTCCAGCAGAGTTCCTCCCTAAGTGTCACCCCACTCAAAAGGGAGGTGCCTTGCCCAAGGTCACCTCCTGCTCCTGCAGGCAACCCATATCCGGCCATGCTCTGAGCTCCTCGTGGGGCAGCTGAGGCCTCTCACAGTGCACCCTCTCCATCTGCCAAGTCCTGCTCCCCTCACACTCTCATAAGGGTTGCTCCCAAGAACATTCCCAGGTGAGCCTCTAAGTCTATCTCTGGGGAAACCTGATTGAAGACCATAACTTTAAAAAAGATCTCGTGGGCTTCCCTGGTGGCACAGTGGTTGAGAGTCCACCTGCCGATGCAGGGGACACGGATTCATGCCCTGGTCCGGGAAGATCCCACATGCCGCGGAGCGGCTGGGCCCGTGAGCCATGGCTGCTGAGCCTGCGCGTCCAGAGCCTGTGCTCCGCAACGGGAGAAGCCACAGAAGTGAGAGGCCCGCATACGGCAAAAAACAAAAAACAAAACAAAAAGATCTCGTCCCTGCCCTTGTGGAGTCCACACCGTAATGGAAAGACACATCATACGTAAATGAACAAATAAAACATTTCAGGTTTTCCCCAGACTTACATAGGGGCTTGTGGCCTGCGTGCAAAACCCGGTTGATGCCTCCACCAGCACCCCACATCCTGTGTTGGTCCCAGGGTGCTGGGAGATCAGACCGCCACAGCTATGAGGTGTGATGCTGAGCTGTGATACCCTGCCTCAGGGCACTGAAGCAGAATGCCTTCTCCCATCTCCTCACTCCTCACCCATCCCACCTACTCAACCAACATCACCAGTGCCCAGAAGAAATGGAAGATCACTTCCCTCCCTGCTTCCTTGAAGACCAGGAAATCCAGCCACCGACACAGCAGGCCAAGAAGCCCTCAGGTGCTCCCCTTCTCACCCTTGATCTGTCCCTGACAGCTGGGTAGCTGGCGTTCCCTGCCACCACGTCTTGTACTTGGGCCCACATTTTTAGCTGCATCACAAAACCACCCCCACATGCTCTCTCAGACTAGGCCTGGGGCCAGCACCCTTGCAATGTTACTTCTGTTTCTTGCTTCTTTTATTGCATCCACTGGGCTTCCCATAGCAGGCAGCTGGCTGTAGCTGAATGGCCTTCTGAAAAAGAACTGAGCCAATCAGGCAAGGTTGGCTCAAGCTCTGGGCTCTGCCACTTCCTAAAGTGGAAACTCACCTCTCTGAGCCTCAGTTTTCTCTATCAAATGGGGATCATCCTGGCCTCCATAAGGATCTTGAGAGGATGCTATAAGGTGAGGCACACCCAGAACCCAGTACCCAGTACTGCCTGGCACACAGTTTTGCCAAATCTATTCAAACCTGCCTCGTCTGGACCAGTTTTACACATCTGTGTCCCATTTTCATCAAGCATCCCACCTCATGAGCCCCAGAAACATCTAGGAAAAGACATTTACCATCTAGTAAATGTCTGGCTGCACAAACATCCCAGGTGGGGCCTGGTACCCACAAGAGTCTTTTCCACTCTCTCTGTCCCCTCTATAGACTCTGCTCTCACAATTTGGTCTGGGGCCTCTTTCTGCTGCTGTTTCGCTTTCTGCTAAAAGCCCACCAAGGCTGGCGTCATGGTTTCTCTGGTTCACATCATGCCTTGAGTGGTCCCTGGATCTCATTTGGGGCCCACTATCCCTGGTGGTGTAACTGCCACAGATGGGGCAGTTCATCTGTATCTTCCTCCTAGGCGGAACACATGGTCTTCAGCTAGAAAATCAGTCATAATGGCGATCACATACATGTGCCAGAAAGGAGTCTAAGCACTTTATGTGTATTACGTTTTCTAATCCTAATAGCCACCTTGATTATTAAGCTCCATTTTACCAATGAGGAAACTAAGGCCCAGGGAAAGAAGCCGCTTGCCCAAGAACACAGAAGATGAACTTGGAAAGACAGACTCTCAGAGAGAAGCCACGGCAGGGCCCCCAGTCACCATTCTCTGTGGTTGACATCAGTGCTGCAAAACTGTGCCTCACACTCCCCATGGCTGGGTCATTTGCTCCCCTTGGAAGGGGAGGAGTGAGTCTGGGGGGGGTCCTGGCAGTTCAGCAGTGAATGACCCAGGACTGCTTCCCTCTTGGATTCTTGGATCTATCGTCCTCACCACACATTCTCACCCCCCCAAGGCCCTTCCTCTGGAAACCAGGAGGCATCCCTGCACCTGCTGGCAAATATAGGGCCCTCATGCCTCCTGCAAGAGCTGGACTCCCTCCTGCCCCATCAGAGCCATTACCGCTTGGCCGGCTTAGGGCTCCTGCCATGAGCTACCCCTCCTGCCAGGCCAGACCATGCTCCCAGCCCCTCCTGTGCTTGCTGAGGCCTCTGGGAAGGGACCCGCACACAGGAGGCCCAAGAGGCCGAGACCCAGGCTTCATGCTCTGCACGCATGAGCAGTGCCAGCACGTGCTCCACGTGGAACTGCTGTCTCTAGGGGACCTTAGGGTGGCGGGGACTGTCCAGGTGATCTGCAGGTGGGAGCCCAGCAGGAGGCAAGTGCCTTTTGCATACATGTTCTCCCCACAGGCTCTGTGCATGGTCGGGCCACAGGCCTGGGGACAGAGGCCTGTGTGGGCGAGGGGGCCCCCAGAATACTTCCCCTCCTTCTCGCCCAGCCCCAGCCTCCTCTGGCCCCTGTTCCTCCCTTGAGACCCTCCTGGGACCCAGAAACACTCACCAGCAGCCAGGAGAGATCGGTGGAGGCCACCAGGGACAGGCCCAAGGACGTGTTCACGGCCTCTGGGGGTGCTGAGAGGACAGACACACAGGGTCACACTCAAGGGCACACCCTCGTTTGGGGGGACAGTCCGAGCTGGAGGCTGAGGAGGGGGCGGTCCGGTGTAGGAGGGTTGAAGGCCCTGATTCCTGGGGCGAGTCACTCACTATTCAGCAAGATGGGCCGACACAAGCCGGTGGCAGCCAGGGCAGTCGTACAAACGTCCTGTTTTGTTGACTGCGACCACCTCCAGGGGGGCTCCCACCACGAGTCTGGAGGCACAACCAGGACAGACAGGGGTTGGGGCACAAGGCGCTTCGGGTGAAGAAGTGTCACGGGGAAGTGAGACTTCGTGAGGGGAGCTCTTGGCTTCGGCCACATGTGAGGCTATTAAAAATTAAGGCCCAAGTCTAACCCACGTATGTTGAAAGGCCGCGCTGGGCTTTTTGTTTATTTGTTTGTGTATGTGTGTGTGTATACATAAATATATATGTGTGTTTGTGTATGCAAATGGTTTGTGTGTGTGTGTGTGTATTTTAACATTCACCCAAAATAATACTATTCAGAACAAAAACAGCGTTTTCCAGCCACAGGTCAGCGCGATTTGTTTCCTAGGAGCCGTCATTCGGAGCCACCCAAGAAACAGTTCGCCTCAAATAGAAAAAGCGGAAAAATGTCCCGAAGCCATAAGCTTTTGAAACCAAATAGATAATTCTGTAATTAATTGGACAATTTAAATATAAGATAAACAATTTAAATTGGACCATTTTAAGCAGCTGTATCTGAAGCCACATCTATATCTGCAGTCCTATAAATGCACCCATTTATTTGCAAAATTCCTTGAGAGGAAAGAATTTTTTAATTTGGAAAAATGTTCTCACTACCAACAACCTCGCTACTCAGATGAGGAAACTGACAAATACTAGTGTACTTTAACTAGTTAGCCAAGCAAGTCTTGTTAAATTGTCATTTAACAAGATTCCTTCTAGAGAGCCATTTCTTTATGGAAACCTGAAATCCCTGTTTGTCTAAGCCTTGAGGATGAAACTGAATCAGATGCTGGAGATGCAGCCGTTTGGGACCTGCTGGCACGAATGTGTGAATCAACTTTTAGCCTTAGACTATTGATCTGCATGTCTTTCTTCACCCCAACCCATTCCTTAGACGTGGGCTCAGTCTTCCCGTACTTGGGTAACAACTCAGCAGAAACGAGGAAAAACAGTAACTTTGTAGCAATCAGAATATCATCCAATATATATTATTTACTTTACTGTAAATACTGGTAAACAGCAGTCAATCAAGAGTTTTTTATTCATTTTTTTTAAAAAATAGGGCCCAACACAGATTGGTGGTGATGGTAAGTGGGACAGAGGCTCTCTTTGGACTTGTTCAGTGTTGTGTGATCAGGAGAGTCCCAAGGGAACCCACGCGAGAGGGGGCTGGAGAGGTTCTACATCCTGATGTAGGTGGTGTTTACCTGGGTACACACATATGAAAAATTCATTGAGTTGGATTTGGGATTTGTGCATTTCAGTCTCTGTGTTATATTTCAACACAAACAAACAAAGAAAAAACTCTGGCTCCTGGCACTTGCTTCCACATTCCCAGCCTGCCAGCAGGGTGAGGAAGGAGGAGGGATGTACATTTAGAACTCAGTGACCTCTGTGTGCTCCCTCTTGGCCAAGTGAACTGTCCTGTGCTCTCAGGCTCTTTGCCAATGCCACCTCCTCTGTGAAGTTTTCCTGGAATTCCCTCCTGGGTTTGAGGTCTCCCTTCTTCTGCCTCCCAGACTTTGGTTATTCTTGCATCACACTGTGACTTCAACTCCTTGGGTCCCTGTCTCTGGGACCCAAGAATGTGCACTTCTGGAGGGAGGGCAGGTACATAATTTGCTGGTCCAAGTGCAAAATAAAAATGCGGGGTCTCTTGTCATTGGAAAAAAGTGTTTCCCCCTTTCTTCTGCAGTGCCTCCCTCTATGCCTGTCCTGGTGTTTCCTATTTGCTATTTGGTGTCACACTCCTTCATGCACGGGGATCCTCACAGGGCCAGCACAGACCCTTAAGGACCGGGCAGGCTGGGCACGGCTGACCCTGTCCTTGCCCAGCTCATGCCAGGGGTCAGTAGTCAGTGGTGTCATGTACAGGCTCCTCGCCCATGCTGCCCTTCCTCCAGGGAACCTCCTGGGCTGCCACATGCAGCCACCTGCCTGCAGGCCAAGGGGGTGGAGCTGGGGAAGTGGGCGGAGCCTACCTAGATCTGCCAAACTGGACCACGCTCTGCCCAAAGCCGGCTCCATCCTCTTGGAAGACCATGGGCTCCTCCACATCCAAATTGAATCCATGATAAGAAGCCAGGACTGAGGAATTTGGGAAGGGGAGGTGAAAGGGACAGTCAGAGAAGCCCCTTCTCCTCTGGACCCCTGACTTCTTGGGGTCTTGATACCCACCCTGCATAGCCTTGGTTCCCCATCTGCCCGGGAGAAGGGCATTCTTTCCTTCTTTGTTTCCTGGTTGCCTTCTGTGTGGCTCCCATCTCTCACCCTCCATCAAAAATAGTCAAATCACAATGCAACGGGCAACAATCCAGAGAAATGCCCCGTCATGGGCACTTCAAATACATCCACAATCTGAAATTAGGCCAGTCACCTCCTGATAGCTTAGATCAGGAATGTCCTTTAAAGATAAATTGACCGTACATCTACTGTCTAAACTGGGACCTTCTGAGAGTGGAAGGGGCACCATTAATAATTACACCAGGGATATTGGGACTGCCCCCAGGTCATCCACTTAAAAACTGTCGTGCCCCATCTTCTCGTTATGCAGAGACCCTGAGATCCAGATTGGGGAACAGACTTAGAATTCTGAGATTAATTACTTGTCATTATGTGTTCTCCATGTCCCCGTCCCTGGTGCCAGGCTCTAGGAGGGCAAGGACTACTACATCTCTCTTGTCTTGGTGCCTGGGACAGTGCCTGGCCCTTAGCAGGGGACATGTATTTGCTGACTGACCCAGAACTGCACAGCAAGTCACTGGCACAGCCAGGAGTCCAATTCACTCTCAACAACCTTGACTCATCGACGTCCCCCTTCCCAAAGGCTAAGCTAGAAAGCCTCAGGGAAGACCCCCTGCATTTCAAGGGCTTTTTCCAACCCGCCCCCCCGCATTTGTCAACCCCAAACACAATCCATTGCTTGGAACTGGGATGTTCAGAATCATTAATTGGTGTCAGGAGTGGGGTGTGCTAGAAAGGCCCTGGCTCATGGTAACAGGTGATTTAAGAAGAAAAAGGTAAAAGGGCAGGGAAAGACAAACCCTTGATCCCTGGATGGCACTCATCCTATGAAACTACAACTACGCTGCAATCTGTTACTAAAGGTAAAATTTACTAAATAAAGTTTAGAAATAATAGTAGCCCGACTCCCAGGGAGTTGGCTCTTGGATCTATAAGGAAATGCAAAATAATAAGCATGCTAAACATACAGCCCCTTGATGATTATTATCCATAATAGCTAAAATGAAATTAAAAGAAAGTGTGGGTTGGGCCTTGATGCTAAACCAACCTCAAATTTAGGTGAGTCTGAGCTATGGCCACTAGCCTCAAAGACATACCTCAAGGAAAAAATTGTGCAGGATGTTAAGAACAACAGGCCCGGGGAATTCCCTGGAGGTCCAGTAGTTAAAATTCCGTGCATTCACAGCAGGGGGCGCAGGGTCGATCCCTGGTTGGGGAAATAAGATCCCATCTGTATCTCCCAGGCCATTGCTAAATGGGGTGTAACATTTCAGACTGCTGGATTCGTCGTCAAAAACTCTGATCTGTCCATTATGCTAGAGAACCCCTGGTCCCTTTCCCTGTCTCTGGTTAACAACACAAGTTTGGAGAACTTTGCATTCAGGCTTTATGCAAAGAAAGGGACACAAAACAAGGGTCATAAAAAATTAAAAATTGAACTAAAAATAAAAGGAATAAAACTGCCTGTATTGTCTACATACCCCTAACATTTTGTTGGCCTTCATGACTGTCACATTTCCAGTTCTGAGCCATAGATGCAAATGGAAATTATCAGGAGGCATTCATGGTTCAAAATTAGCTCCCTTTACTAGATTCCTACTTCCCTGGTTATGCATAAATGCAAATGAGGAACCTCTCCTTAACTACTGAAAATATTACAGAATCTGCTGCAATAGCAATAGCTGCCCAATAAAAATTCTTATACTTTCTGGCCAAAGTTGTGGAGGGTTTTTTCCCCAAAGTTGTTCTTGGTAATAGGATAGCCCTTGATTACCTTTTAACTGAGGAATGAAGTATGTGTTCCATGGCCAACACCACCTGTTGCACCTGGATTGACACTTCTGGGAACGTTGACACCCAATTACATAAGATCACTGAGCAAGCCACTTGGCTTAAAAAGATGACTCCTTCAGCAGGGTCATCTTTGACTTATTTGACTTTGATTGGTTTGGGTCTTAGGAACCATAGTCCAAAGTGCCCTCCAGACACTGGGGATCATCCTGCTTATTTATAATCTTAACACTCTCCGAGGTGCATTGTATTCTCTCAAAAGCTTTAAGTGCATGGTTACAGCTGCTAACCACCAAGCAAATGATCTCCCTAAGACTGGGACATCTAAAAAGGAAGAAAGAGAATGACTGACCTAAAGATTGTAAACTTGAAGCTGTGACCTGTAAATATCACAGGGATTAAGCAAAACTGTTATGACCTATGGACACTACACAAAGGACTGACAAAAATTGGAGAACTTCAGAGCAGTAGCTGAGAGTGGCACTAATGCCTTAAAATTTTTATCACATCTTTCAGCTAAGCATAGAGTCTGATCAAAAGGGGAGAATCATTAAAAAGGAACAACAGGCCCAAAATGGAGTCACTTGTGCTAAACCCCACATCAACAAACCAAGACTTAATACCTAACCTAATAACAGTTTCAACATTTCCCAGAACGTAGTTTTAACCAGTCGGTCTGGAATTTTCTGGTCAGCACCAGTGAGGTACCACACGGGCCATTCCCATCCCCCAGAGGAAGACGAGGTAATCCACTCTCTGCCTAGAAAAGCCTTCCTTTTAGTACAGCTTCTCAGAGCTCCTCTCTACTTGCTAGATGGGATGTTGCCCAAATCATGAATGGTTCAGTAAAGACAATTAGATCTTTAAAACTTATTCAGTTGAGGGACTTCCCTGGTGGTCCAGTGGTTAAGACTCTGCACTCCCAATGCTGGGGGCTCAGGTTCAATCTCTTGGTCAGGGAACAAGATCCCATGTGCTGCAACTAAGACCTGGTACAGCCAAATAAATATTTTAAAATAAATAAATAATAAAATTTATTCAGCTGAAAAAAATTTTTTTAAACAAGGGACAACAGAAAGTACCTCTAAGATCCCTGATCATGAAGAAGGTAGTCAATGTGAAGGAAGGGCAAAACCAAGCAACTATTAAAACCAGGGAGTAGAGTGTGAAGGAGTTGCTTCATTTTGTGAATTGATATTATAAAATGGATTGTGAGAGTAATTAATTTGGGGACTGGTCACTGGTTGAGTGCTGCAGAGTAGAAGAGCATGTCTGGGTTGATACAGGACACACAGCTCACTATAGAACAATCACAGATGGCTATATGTGATCCAGACACACACGAGGTTATTCCTGAGGGCTCAGCCAGCCTGGTGGACTGGAGAAAACATCTGTTAACCCTGAGAAGGGAGATTGCCCATCACCCGCTATGAATGCCAAGTGGAACACCCCAAATGAAGCAGCTGGTATGCTTCATATGTAAGCCATGTGGGACGGGCTTTGTGATGACTGAGGTATTTACCTGATGAATATGCCCATTACCCAGGACATGGTAAATGCTGTGGTTAAGGGGTCACCTTTCACATAGGCACCCCATATAACCCTATTTTTGCAAAACCAAAGAACAGTGCAGGAAGCTTTATCGAATTTCCTGTCTCAGCTTCCCCTCATAGGTCTTACAGATGTAACCAAGCAAAGGGCTCATGTACCCAAGCGCAGAAAGCCAAACTATGACAGCAGGTGTTTGCAGCAAGGTAAGGATTTACTGCAGGGTGCCAAGAAAGGGAATGGGAGACAAGCCTCAGATCCACTCCAACTTGATCTTTGAACTAAAGGTCTTTTGGGTTTTTTTTAAGGTGAGGAACAAAGAGGCTGGGATTAATCATTTCTTATGACATTTCTTAATCATAGTTTTGGAAGTCAAGATGTCTCTGATGTATGATTCTCTGACCAGGTAGTCCATGGCTTGGGAGTCTGTGAGCTTATTTTACCCCGAAGAAACAACCTGAGTCTGTACGTTAATGATGATATCTATAAGAGCAATTTTAGTGCATTAAAGACTTTATCGACAACAGCAAAATTTTAGTCATCTGACTCTGGTTGGCTAGTGTTCAGTTAGCACAGAATTGAGGTTAGAGGGGACAAGAAGGGGAATAAAGTTTTGCATAAAGGGATTAATCATGAACTCGGTAAGGGAACTTGGTTTTAGGAGAACTCAGTTTCACAGGTGGTAATAAAAACATTAAGTTAATTAACAAGAGAATGCAAAGAGGCCGAGGGGAGACTCAAAGGACTTCCCAACAGAGTGGAAATTTTTGAATGGTTATTAAGAAATAAGGTGAATAAGCAAATATTGATAGGAGCAAAACAAAGAGGAAACAGAAAGAGAGTCATGAGACCCGTCCCAGCAGGAGGGAAATTTTTAGATGATTTTGGAGAAATTGAAAAAGTCAGCAGCTATATTTGTCTAGAAACATTAAACATAATTTTTTCCATTTGTACAGGGCTAATGCACTGTATTAAATAGGTAACGTCTTATCTACATGGGTTTGATTACAGAAACTAATAAGGTATTCTCTAAATAATGAAAAAAAAAAAAGAAAAGTAAAGGTCAGAATGCAGAAATTACAGTGAGAAACCTGACCAGTCATCGTTTGAGACAGTGGTTAGATTAATCAGGTTAAAGATTGGCAAAAGCGCCTTGCTTCGGTCCCTCACTGGTGACCAAAAGACTTTGGCACAAGAGTGGGCAAAGTGGTCAGAGGGTGGAGAAAAGTTTCCAGGACTCCTTGATACAGAAGCCACACCTATTGGTGAAGCCCCTACATGGGCAACAATTAGATCGAGAGAATGTAAACATGTAATGATTGATAGGATTATGAAAGATGGAATGCTTAAACAGGTTATACGTAAAGAATTTGTGTCTCCTTTTATGGGAATGGATATTATCTTTGGCTGTGGAACACTTCCCCTACCCAGTATTGCAAACCAAAACCTCTGGATGAAGTCCTAATGGAGGCTACAGTTAGAAATGTAAGGTAAAAGTTTGTAGGAAGATTGATATGTTCCAACAGTCTTTATAGTGGTTGCATTTCTTTTACTTGGTTGTATTATGAGGGTGGACATCTACTCTCACAGGGGAATATTTTC